CACCTGCAAGCATTTCTACATGTTGGACCACTCGCTGTGAGGTCCTTTCACCTTTTTCACGATGTGCCAAAGACGATGGGTTTGCCGTTTGGTTTCCGAAGGTGAAAGGATAAAGACCCCGTCCAAAAAGACACACACACACACACTTGAGTCAAGGTCCTGAAAGCTCAACCTCCTATTCTCAGTTCCTGAGTGCCTGTCGACTTAAAACTTCTTGCGAAGACCCTTTTCTGAATTTTAAGTTTTAAGGGTCTTCGCAAGAAGGGTCAAACTTAATTGAATATACCAATTTACCAAGACCCTTACCAACTTAAAATATTCTTGGTAAATTGAAAGTTTGAACTTTTTGGGCCAATCCACGAAGAGAAACATATTTTGGGTAAGTGAGTATAGGTCTTGTGGCTAAGAGCATGGCCCCTCGGCGTCACCCCTGTGGATGGTTGGGAAATCCGCGTCTCGCACCACCAGTCAGAAGCCCAACGGAATGATTCGATTCCCTTGTTATTATTAAATACCAGTCGTTCTGGTTTCAACAATGGCTTCAAAGTGGTGCAGGAGTTCGTTCATTCAGAGAATTGTAGCCAACCAGCCCATTCTACGTTTAATTTTCAATGATTTCAGGGCAAATGCATCCAGGACTAGCTATCAATTCGTTGACGAACCATCTCTCATAATGGGTTAGTTTAGCCATTTGTCAGCCATTGGGGACGGAGGGTTTCCTCTACAAGGCAAAATAGGAATAGGCAGCAAGCCAGTTTGCTTTTAGTGTTTCTTTAGGTTGCCCAGTATAAACAGTAAATGAAAAGCGGATCGATCCACTGGGATGGTTGACGGATTTGGCAGTGTCTTCAAATAGAGGCCCTCCAAAATGACGGTTCTTCCGAATTCCTAGTTTTCCCCCTAAAAATAACACTTGTTCCTTTAGTTTCCCCTCAAGACCGAGCAAAGTGGACGGGTTCTCTTCCTCTAGTTTTCCCCTTAAGACCACACTCAAAACAGCACACGACGGCCCAATGTCATTGTCTCCCGTCCTCCAGGACTGGAAGCGGCCGCTCCTCAGCTCCCTGCGCGCCGCACGCTACAACGCGCTGGCAGCGCCTTGGATCGATTGGATCGGTGGGCGGCGGTGAGCGGTGAGCGGTGAGCGAAACGGGACTGAAACGGCCATGAGTTTAAATGTGGAACCCCCTTAGAAATGGTTGGTGGACACAACACCCGACCAAATTCTGATGTCCACCATTTCGGGCCCCTATTTAAAATTCATGCCCAAATCACTAAAGCCTATGGCCTGCCCTTGACGTCCGTTTGCTTGAGCGAAAAAGAGTGGTTTGTCTTTGGTTTCCCCTAAAAACACACGAAAAGTTGTACCCTGAGAAAACAGACACACCCATTTTGGTTTTTGAGGCTATGGAGTGCGGGGAAGTATTGCTTGCTGAGGTACCGATCTTGGAGTCTGCGAATATCACAGTCATCAACACCTTCACCAGCAGTCACCTGCAAGCACGCAGTGGGGACCGCATTGCTCGATGTTCGAGTTCGGGCTGTCAGTTGTCCACTGGTTGGATGGGAACAAATCACCTCAATGGCCTTGCAAGGAGGAAGAGGTGGGTTACCCCGACCCCTTTCTCAAAATCATCACGAATATGGTTACCCACATGGGGACCCTATGTTCCCCTCTAGGCCCTAGTGCAATCACTTGCTTCAGGGAGTCGATGTACATCCCTCAGCGCCCAAAGGGTTGATGTGTGCGGCTCCTTCTCACCTAACAGCTCAAGTGCAACTTGCAACCGACTCAGCGAGCTTTCCAAGATATCAGACAAATCGCCCTGTGGGATACAAAGGCTCACGAGCAAACTCAACCCAGGAACTCTTCCGGAACCCTGGCTGGGAGCCAATTTCTGGCCGTTCTCTTGTGGAAGTTCGCGTCCTTATGTCCTTTTGGACATACAGAGCCAAAGTAACCCAAGCCATACAGCAAGAGCCGTTGCAACCTACTTGGTTGCCACCTGCATCCTCAAAATACCTTTCAACCATCGACTTTTTGCTCAAAGTTATGGTCGGTGAATTCTCATTCCCCTATTTTTTGCTCAAAGTTGGATTATCATTCCCCATTTTGACGGCTGGTTTCAGGGTCCCGATGGTTTTACATTTGGCTCGGATCGAGGTCGGCAGCACCCGGAAGCCTCCAAGGACGGGCGGTTTGCGAACCTAGGCAAGGCCAATGGGTTTGTCTCAAAATCGGCATACACCCCCAAGAAATTCGAAAGTTTTTCCCTCTGGTTTTCCTTTGGTGTTCCTTTGGTTTTCCTTTGGGCTTCCTTCGGCTTTCCTTTGGTTTTCCTTTGGTTCTCCTTTGGTCTTCCTTTGGCTTTCCTTTGGCTTTCTTTGGTTTTCCTTTGGCTTTCCTTGGGTTTTCCTTTGGTTCTCCTTTGGTCTTCCTTTGGCTTTCCTTTGGCTTTCTTTGGTTTTCCTTTGGCTTTCCTTGGGTTTCCTTTGGTTTCCCGTACCATCTCAACACGGGCACCTTTAAAAAAGAGCTCATGGCCAAGTTAGCAAGTTGTGATCGCCAAGTTAGTGGGAAGAACATGGGTGACCTTAAGCCGCAAATGAGTGTTCTACTTGGATGTTCGATCGCCACGTGGGGTTTTCTCACCCCTTAGCCAGGTGAACCTCACTGAACGGGACACAGGTTGCCAACAGCTTGCTAACTTGGCGAATTGAACACCCAAGAACCAGTTGTTGTCCTGTTGTTGAAGTGTTGCAAAGGTCACCTACCATAGTGGCAACTGAAAGCACGGGGTTTGGCAACCCCAAAGGGTTTTTTTTACCCCTAGGTGTTACAGCATGCACTAGACCTTTGAGGGAAAGGGGCATCCACTTGGGGGCCCTAATAACTGGCAAACCCCTGGCACCACCCTGACGGGGATTAAGTGGCCCTTTTGAGAAACCCCCACGTGAGAACGAGGGCTTCTTTCCTGGGGGGTCCTATTTCCAGTTTGGGGATGAGGCAACGCGCACGTTTACCACTTTGTGAAGAGGGCTCGGGTAGGCCCCTCTGGGTTTTGCAGGTCTATGGGCAGTCTTGAAGTAGTCCCCTTTCAGTGTCTGGTCATATTCCCCTGAAAAGGCACGCAGGGACCCAGCAAACCACCAGCGGTTTCCAGGGTCCATTCCCACAGTGGAGTGCACATCGTTTATTGAAGCGACTTCCTTAAAATGACTTTCGTCTCCAGCAAGGTCTGCTGGAAGTTGGCCAAACACCTGGAGATGTTCCTGGAGTTTGTTGCGTGATTAACGGCAACCCGCCCCAAAAGTTGTTTTTGAGAAGCCCAACTCTTCACTTTACCGGGATTCAGTTTTTGTCCCCCTGCCAGGTGTCCTCAATATTTTATCTTGGTTTCCAAGCACTAGCTTGTGGCCTCAGGAAAACGTAGTACCCCAGATGTGAGGCTCTTCAAGCGGCCGGGAAAAATCCGTTTTTTTCTTCTCAGGTTTTTCTTCCAGCGGCCGCGGGTCGGGCCGCGCGTTTTTTCTTCTTCGTTTCTTTCTCGCAGGATGGAGTGCACTCCCCGGGCGCGGTGTCGCGGCACCACGCCCAGCTCTTTCTGCAGGCCCTCTGCTGAGGCTGACGAAACCTTTGGTGCATTTTGCCAAGGGATGTTAGGACTGGACAACTTTTTGCCAACTGATGGGTTTTCCGAACTAAACCACTAAAAGTTGAACACTTTTAGCAGGGGAGCAGATTTCGCAACCGAGAAACCGTGCGGCCCAAGTCCCGGGAACTGCCCGAGGCAATGGCGGATTTTTTGTGGATGTGGATGGAAATCCCAGGGGTTGGGAGGCGAGGTTTGTGAAAATTGGGGATAAACCACTTGCCAAGCCCAGACCCATTTACCTGCATGGCAGGCGATAGCAGGTAACCAACGGCCTGCCACCCGTTAAAAGCCAAGAAGGAAATAACTCTGGGATATCCTCTACAACCCGGTGCGAAAAAGATTTGGTCCATCCATAGTCCCATGTACAGGCTCCGGCCAGCCAGGCTGAAAAGTCATTCGGCTGAAAATCGCCGGCTGAATGAGGCGGGAAGGAGACAAAACGCGCGGACCGAACAGGCCAGTGGATGGACTTTATCCTACGCCAGCTGCTCAGAATCACAGACTAGGTCCCCCAGTAGTGCCCTTTCTCACCCCTTTTTTTGGGGAGGGTTCCCCTACAACAATAGACTATAGCAAAAAGGGCACCCTTATTCTAACCGTTTCTTTTTTGGTTGGGAGGGTTCCCCTACTACAATAGACTACAGAAAAAAAGAAGTCGGTAGCCTTATTCTAGCCTCTCAAATCTGGAGGACCTGGCACAGTTTGGGTTTGGATCCCGGCTGGTGACTGGATTTCGTGGAGTTTCTCCATCAGGTTGTTGGCTTTATCGCCCAAGTTCAGCGAGAACATCAGGGGTCAGAGCCTTCAGATGATCAAACCTTAAGCATACAAGCATAGAAAGATGGTAGGTGCTGTACAGAATTTATGTGCAACGTGATCAATAGAAAATTGGGTTTCCTTTGGTTTCGATTCATTGCAACGATTGCCACATTCTTAACTTGTGTCAAGTGAATGGGAGCAACCTTCTCGATGGCCGTTCCGGGCAGTGAGTTCAGGTTTCAAGGTGGGTACTTGAGCGGCGAGTAACTGTGATTATGCACCAGAGCATTGTTGTAAAGTTGTAAGTTCCCTTTCCACGCATTCGCCCATCCAACCACCTACCTGACGTGGCCTGCCCCTTGGAGTAAATGAAGGGATCCCAGAAAATGGGGGCGGGGTCCTTTTGGTTTCCTGGAACAGCTGCAGAAGTTGGTGACCAGCCCCTGAACGCTGACCCCGGATGAACAAACGCGAGGATTATGTTCATTTGGGGGCGTCAGGGAACACCCCCTATTACTGGGAAGGGTTCTACTTGGATCCGAGGTGGAGCAAAACAGCTAGGCGACTGACACGCTCAGCGCTGAGGCTATCGGATCTTCTACAACAACTTCCGGGGGTGGTGGGTCTTCAACACGGACCTGAACACGCAGGCTGACATGGTTTCGATGAGCCTTTTAAGTGACTTGCAAAAAAATAACTCACATCCCGAGTTCCTGGGCTTTAGTCACTTTTGGGGTTTGGACCATGTTCGTGGCTTGCGCAAACGGTTCCAGGACTTGTTTCTGGCCAAATCACTGTGGAAGTAAGTGCAAGGCTAACGCGTTTGGCCAGTGAAAAGAGCTGATTGAGGGTTGAAACTGTGAGACCATGAGACCCTTCTTGCTCGCTCAAAGAAATGCAAAACGCACTGAGAGTTTGGGCGACAGCCTGGCCCCGCACTTCCCCATGCAGAGTATGTTTTTGGTCATTGGCACCGCTATGGACAAAGCACACCCATTCTTTGTTGCATGTTGCTTGGACGTTAGGACTTGAACTTTTTGCCAACGAACGGGTTTTCCATTAAACCACTAAAGTTATTTTTTTAGCGGAGAGCAGAAAGCAACCGATCTGAAGGGTTGAAGCAACAGCCGCAACCCGTTGCCGTGCTCGTGGCACTCCTTTATGGCCGGCGGACCGCTGTGGGACCGAATCGCCCGAAAAGGACTTGGGTCAACACCAATGGCGGTGCACCACCCATTTTAGTCTACTTCAAACCTCGACCTTGAAACCTCAGGGGCGGGTGGGGAGAAACCCAGTCATTTAGCCTTACCCCTTCTCTACGGGGTTGGGCTACCATTCTGGTGGTTGTTTTCCGAGCAACCCAATCAAATTGGTCAAACAGGTTGCTGTGGTGTTCTGTCCATTTATTTTAGTAGGGGCCTGCTACAAACCTCTTTTTTTTTGGCCACCATAGCAAGGGTTGAACAGTCAGGTCATTTGAACAACACAAAGAAAAAACGCGCCTCGCAAGAGTTTCGTCGTGAGGCGGAGCCTTTGGCGTGGGCTGATGGCAGCACCTACACCACCCCGGATCAAGTGCCCACGGGTGCTTGGCAGGCTAGATGAGACACTTGCTTCAGGAAAAACCAACCAGCAGGGATACAGGGAGAACCAGGGATACGGGAGGAGTCCCCCTAGATGCACCTGGTCTAAGTTTGATATGGGAAGTGCCGCCAAGGGAATCCCCCCATATCCCCGCTCCCTCCGTATCCATGCTTGTTTGTTTGTCCAATTGCTCAAAAGGAGAATCAACCAGAAGGCACCTTTTTTGATTCTTTACATGATTCATACGATTGCAGAGGCATGGTTCCCTACTAGCAATTGGGGTGTCTTTTTTGCAGGCTACCCGTTGACTGGGAGGGTTGAAAAAAAGGAAAGTCGAAACAACGGCCACTTATTATTATTATTATTGTTTTTTCCCCTATATAAATAAACAGGCACCTATATTCCTGTAAGTTGTACCCAACATGTCACCTTCTAGAAAGGCCAAGTACAAGCGAGTTCCTTCAAGTGCAGTGTGACAAGGGGCATCTAATTGGAGCCATGTGTTTCTTTTCTCTTGTTTGAAAGGTCCAAATCAAAGTTGAGAATCCTTTTTGATGGCCAGTGTTGTTTGTTGGTTTCTTATTTGTTTGGTTGGACATCTAGTTCTTTTGTTTGTGTTCCTGTTTGTCAATGTGTTGTTCTTGTGTGCTTCCGTATTTGGCTGTTTGTCAAAACCAATGGTACCATCTTGGGGTAGGGGTACCACCCATTTTTGTCTATTTTAGTGGTTGGATTGGGATGTTCACTGGGGGTACGATTTGGCTTTTGACCCATGGCCATTTGTTTTGTGTGGCCGGTGTGCCGTTTTTGTCCACGTCTCGCCGTGGGATTTTTTGGTGCAGGTGTGGATCACGGATGACATCACGGTCATCGGCGCAGGGTATTGGTATGGACACCCCTCCCTGTGCGGCTGGCGCAGTTTATTCAGACCCAGCTGCCTGCCCCAGAGGGTCCTGGTACCTTCCAAGGACGTACCGAACGACCCCTTTTGAACCCCCTGAGCCATCAGAAGGTACCAAGGGACCCTCTGAGTGTTATCTTTGTTGCATTTTGCTTGGATGTTAGGACTTTAACTTTTTGCCAACGAATGGGCTTGCAGTAAACCACTAAAAGTTAAACATTTAGCAGGGGAGCAGAAAGCAACCGAGAAATTGTTCTTAAGCGGGTGAAATGGATCAAAGTACATTCTACTCAAAACTGTCAAAGTCGGTTGTTTTGTGGTGGCTGCAAGTGTTGCATAGGGTCCTGGACCCTGAACGGACCCTGTTTTCTGATGCACACAAAGGCGGTTTATGGCAAAACAAAGAGGGTCGGTGTGTCCCTATGGCGCTGTGTTTGTGGTAACACCTGCTAAGCATGTGCTTAAGGGCTCCTAACGATCAAACACGGGTTTGTTCCGAGCGGCTAGGGGTCAACCCAAACTTTTTTCTGGTTTTTTGGTACTTAGATGCTCTGTGACTTGGCTAATTGATGAGTAATCTCCAGCTGGCTGCTTGACTCCACCGAAACTCCACCCGAACCACGCCCAACACCTACCCAACACCCACACAAAACCGACACAAAGCCCCCACAAAGCATAAGCCAGTAGCTTACCCACCCAGACCCCTTTTACACCGAGCTTTGACTAGATTGTGACTCAGTGATCCGCGCGAGGCCAAGCCTGTTTCCCTTTTGTTTTCTGGTGGGGTCCCCACTGAAAACCGTCAACCCCAAATGCGTCGCCTTGTTCTAGGGTTACTTGTCCTAGCTTGGGAATGCGTCCTTTGCATTGTCTTCACCTGTTGTTCCCCTAAGACATCACCCAATTCTTGTTTACCGAGGAACAAGAAAACTAGACGATTAACACAGCCCTGGTTGATGTTGATTGAGGAACGTTCCGTTGAAAGAGAGATTCGGCTCACCGTGGGTAAACAAATTGCCCATGAATCCGCAGGCTCGGCAAAAGTCGAGTTTGGCATGCAGGGAGGCAGGTGAGGCAAGCAGATGATGCCCTCGGCGAAAGGCCCACTACAGGAAACCAGGGAAACCATCCATGCTAAAACCTAGAGGCAAGAGTACAGAAGGGGTTGCCAGCATAAACTGAAAGCACTGGCTGGTGTTGCAACCCACATAAAGAATCAGTTGGGGCACTTTCTCTGCGGATTGTGAAGCCCGGCGGCGCGAGGATTGGCCACCCGTGAAGCTGGGAAAGCTTTCCTAGGGACGGGCCGTCGTCCTTGACGACGGCCCGTGCTTAGTTGCTTAAGGTTGAATGGATCGGACCCAAAGGCTCGTGTTCAGTTGGTGATACTGTGGATGGACGAAATCCATTTCGCACCACCTAAGAAACCCTGGAATGGTCTGATTCCCCTGTAAGTGCCAATGAACAATGGTTTGCCAAGGTTTCCAAGTGGTGCAGGATTTCGTCCATCCACAGTAGCTTTGGTGCATTCTGCCAAGGGATGTTAGGAGTTTATAGCAACCGAGTTAGAATGCCCAGGGATTCCATGTGCATACGCAACCCTTGACGGTTCTGAACCTCTCCCAAGCCAACGCCAAAAGAAAGGAACGCGCCTCTCAGCGCGCCAGGCGTGTGCCCGGAAGCATAGAGCCCGGCTGGGCCTTCGGCCCGGAGCCGAGTGTTTTCTCCTTGGGCTCGGGATGGTCGGATGGTCCGAAAGCGCAAGTTGAGAGCACGCGTCTTTGGGTCTTTGGAAATGGCACGCAGGCATGAGGCTCATGCCCCGAGGCTCAATATATCACTTTGGTGCATTTTGCCAAGGGATGTTAGAACAACTTTTTGACAACTAACGGGTTTTCCATTAAACCACTAAAAGTTGAACTTTTAGCAGGGGAGCAGAAACCGAGATCTGGTATAGCCCTCAATTGGCTGTGGGTCAAAACTAAACAACCAGACCGCAGATTTTAGTTCATATGTCCATTTACCAATGTTGAATTTTGGGTACCAATTTTGGACCCACAGCCAATTGGTAGTTTGGATTTGTGATTTGGAGATTTGAATTTCTATTTCGTTTTCGGGATACATGGGAACCATCCCTAACCTCCAAACCACCGATCCAAACCACCAACTTGAGGGAAGCTGATAATATTGGGTTCAATCATTGTTTCAGTGCTAGTGTCGATCTGACCAGGCTTGATGTGTCTAAGAGGGTTCCCAAAAATTACTTACCCCGAAACCATAGCCCCCCAGGATTTCAGTTCCTTCATTTGAAGGCACCTAAGTTGGACAGCCCTCTTGTGACTTGCGAACCGAGCCGGTGTCATCTTTTGAGGGGTTGGTTCCCCATTCTTTTAAACCGTCGTTCTTTGCAACAGCTGGATCCATTTTTTCCTCCTCTCCAGGTTTTCTAGAGGGAACGATCCTGGAAAGCACGGGGAAGGTACCTCTAGAGTTGTTTTTTGTTTTTTCATACATCGCACAAGCATTCTGCACCCGAAAGGCAGGCAACCATCGTTTAGAATCTTCCCGCCCGACGTGTTGTGGTCATGCCGGAGGCGATCATTCGCAGACGGCACCGGGTCTCTCAGCAACGCAACCGAAGCGGAAACTCATCTACTCGGTTGTCCAAACCCGACCTTTGACCTTTTGAAAATTCCCATTTTGGCAACCATTTTCAGTAGAGGTGCGAAAAGGTGATCACCTTTTAGTTCTGGGTCCTTTGGGCAACTGAGTCATAGGTTCCTACCCAAGGTCATCCTGAGAATTGGGTTGCCCAGGTAATTGGTTGGTTGGTTGGTTGGTTGGATTTTCAGTCTCCCTTGAACACCAAAGGTTGTCTTTTGGCTTCAAACAATAACGCATATATTGGTTTCACCAAAATAACACCAGCACCCTCGAGAAGACAGCCTTTTGGACAGCACTTGTGGTTTTGGGCATGGGCAAAACAATCGTTGGATTGGTGGTGGAAGGGGGTTCACCCCCCAACAAAAAAATAAAAATTGACACCCGGCGCAGATTGCCGGGTCGAGCGGATGAGGTTTAAACCCGACCTCTGCCATGACGAACGTGGGCATAGACGCTCGGGGCCCCGGACTTCCGTTCAACGGCCAAGGCTTTTCAGCGGGAGGGTCTTGGGGATGTGGCTGTGGGTCAAATGAATTTGTACCAAAATGGCGCCTTGGCAAATGGAACCAAGGACTAAAACCTGCGTAACCCTAGTTTTGAGATGTTTTGAGCCATACCCATGTGGAAAACTTCGAGGATAGCAAACCACTGAACTGTCAATGACCAAACCTCCAGAGTAGAAGCTTGAACAGTTTTTCGTCGGTTTCGCTTCTCATGCAAGATACAACATGTGGGTTCATGGATGTGTTCTTGCACTGGCAAGATGCAACCTACGCAAGTGGCGGTGGCTGAATTCTGACTCCCCCCTCTGGTCTTTTTGGGTGCCTCAATTCCATTTCCCTTGCATAGGGTCATGACTCTGAAGCCATTTTTGAAGGGTCATGGAGACTTGTCAGTTGAGTTTAGTTCGGAATCCGGAAGATTCCCCGAAACATTCCCTCACTCCCTGATTTTAATGCTGCTTCTTGGTTTTCCTTGGTTGTGCTCTTGGTTTTCCTCGGACCTTTTTTTTTTTTTCAGTTTGTCCATTCCCAGACATTCCACGCAGGTCATAAATACCCACATTTAAGTCAGCTTCGTTGGTATGTATTACCCAAATGGATGTTCTGAGATTGTTTTTCCATCGGTCCAGCGCCATTTACGTAGCACTTGCCACTTGTTCTTGTCTCGTTTTTCGGCTTCTTCCATGGGGTGTTCTCCGATTTATTTATTTTTCAGCGCCGAGTCGGTGACGAATGTGGCAGAAAGCCAGCGGCAGGCCTTGATGAGTTTGCCGTACCTCACCAGCGCCACCTTCGACCTCGGCCCCGCCGTGCCGAGACCCGGATCGACCGCCCATCCGCTCGGCCGCTCGCTGGGCGTCGGGGGCGATTTTTGGAGGATATTTTGGGACCCGCAAAAGAAGTGCCGCGGCGGTGGTGTTTTTTTTGTTGGGTTCCTTGAAGAGCACCAAAAAAGGGGTAGCCGCAAGAAGCGACCGGATTGGTGGCGCCCAGGTTAGATGTTCTCTTGGTTTTACCATGATGGTTTCCTCTGGCTGCTACTATGGTGGCGTGCCTGGACGCGCACTGGGGCAGCCAAGAAGGTTGGTTACCTTTTTGGGGCCATCCGCTCGGAAGTGAGGAAATAGGTGTGTTTTTGAGAGTTTGGCGGCTTCTTGGTTGCGTTTTCGGGTTCCTTGGGGATTCTGGTTGTTTTTTTTTTCTCAAACCAGTTTTGATGGACGCCACAAACCCCGAAAGGGTCACCCACCATCCGGATCACTGGGATGAGCTTGCTAGCCGAGGCACCTGTGTTTTGTTTCTCTTTGGGCAGGATTTCTCTGCAAAATCAAATACCCAAGGACCCCAAATCAGGTGCCCGTTTCTTCCGATGGCTTTGAGGCTTAAGGTTGTGGGGCGGGGGGTAGGTGGTTTGATTGGTGGTTCGGGGATTTGAAGCCCTGGTTTGTGGTGAAGCCAAATCGCAAGGTACCCCCAAACATTCAAACTACAAACCAACTAGGAAGCTGAAATGAAACTGGACGCATTGGGTGTGTGTCTTTGTTTTTGGACTCGGACCCCCCAAATGGCGCCGAAGCCACCTGTCCCAAGCATCGGTTCAGCTCCGGAAGACCCTTGGATTCGGTGGGGTCCGAGTGGGTCGATGCGTCCTTTTTTTGGAGTCGGTGCCCGCTGGGTGGGCTTTTTATGGGAAACCAACGGGAAAGAGGCAATTTTGAAGAAGATCCTCGAGTCCCGAAAAAACGGACCCCAAGTTTCCTTCCTGAAGGCCCCATTGAAAGGACCAAAATTGGAGACGAACGCTCAGACTCGACCTCAGCTCCATGGGTGTTTTAGCTCAACGTTCCTCTGAGACCACGGCTGGGACCTACAAGATGTGCTGGTGCCCAACCTGGGACCGGCGCTTTGGGCGATGGGCGGTTTGGGCGATCGCTTCGGGCGATGGAGGTTCGATCAAAGTGGATGTCTCCCCCAAAAACGTTGATCTGCTATTGGGTTGGATCTTTAGACTTTAACTTTTTGGTTGACATCATTCCAGGAACTTCGGAACCGATTCCTGTGCAGGTTCTATGTTTTATGTTTGGGAGCTTTTAAAGGGTGGTTCCCTTAGATACACGCATCCAGATTTGTCTCTTGAGAGTTTGGGAGGAACGAGAATGTGGACTCGCTCAAAATGCCGGCTAGTTTGTCCATGTTCTCTCGGGGAAGGACGTCGTTTTGACCGTGGCTCATGTCGACCTGGGATCATATTCTTTTAGATTGAGACAACCCCTACTCAACCAGTGGTTGTAACAGAAAGGCTGGGTCGAAAAACGATGGCAACCCTGGCGGAAGGGGGGGGGATATGGGGCTTGGGTTTGGGCGGGGTAAACCCTTCGTGGGATATCACATGGTCGTATCCTGTTTTGAGGGTGCCCCCCTTTTGTGTGGTTTTAAAGGGAAGCCGGAAAACCAGCCATTCTGGGGTTCCCTAAAAGAAGACAACCAAACATTGCAAAGAGGGGCCGGATCACTTTTAGGGAGACTTGCACCCTGTTTGCGTGCTTTTGGTCCTACCCAAAGGGTCCGATTGGGGCTTGGTATGGAGGACTGCTCGGGTTCCCTGTACCAGAACCGGAGTTGCTGAATGGGGTCCCAAAACCTACGTGATTTTGGCGCCCCAATTTTTATCAGGACCCGTAGGGTACTTAGATCCGTCGACATATCCCGGCGGATCCAGCTTCCAGTTGCCAGTAGGTAAACCAGTGAAAGACTCTTGGAAATCCAAGCAACTCTTTAGGGGAGTATGCGCATGAATGAAAGCATGTATGAAACATGTAAAAGCATTGTAGACAAGCACGTGGGAAACCTATTTGGTGTTCAGACACACTCATATTCCTGATGTGTTTGATTATGGGCAGTCTTCAGCACGGAGAATGCACCCAATGAAGCACATGTCCACCCCCCTCCCAACAACAAGCCATGTCCAGCCCCCCCCCAACAAACAGGAATGGCCCAAAGGCTGGGGTCATGATGTTGACGGTTTCTGGCAGTTCTCACAGTCAGAACATGGATTCGGTGGTTTCCTTTGAATCTACCACTGAACGGGGTGACTTTGATCATGGGAGAATGGGATCAACGGCCATCAAACGGTTTGTCAATTGACCTTTGTCGTTGTTGCTGGGGAGGAATTTCCAGCTTCAATGAGTCGCATGAGCAGCTGCACCTCATTCGGCATCCCCAAGGGATTCGGCAAGAGGTCCGAGTGATGGTTTCGAACTTAGCAAAGTGGTTAGTCACCGCTAGTCAAGCCCGATTTAGCCTTACTGAGGTTTCATTGGACTTAGTCACCTCTAGTCTGATGGTTTCGGGGCCCCTGTAAACCCGTGAGCCTGTCCCTGAGCATTTCCGGGCCGCATCCAGATGTGGCCTCTGACCATTCGCGAGGACTGGCCCGAGTCAGAGGACTTGCGCGGTGGCGATGTGGATACCACGCCCTGCCCGGCGCACAGAGATGTTGAGTCTCGGGCGCCTTGTCCGGGGTTCTTTTACCGGGTGCTACAAAGACCATGTGCCAGGGTGAAAAGACCGGGCTCCTCTACTTGGAAAGACCGGTTCGGTTCCTCTACTTGGAAAGACCGGTTCCTTTACTTGGGACTTACAAGGATGGGCATCGCCAGCTTTGAGACGAACCCCGTGTTGGACTTGGCTGGGCGTATTTGGTTTTAGAACTCTCTTGTAGCCGCCTTACCCAGAAAGCCCGTGGAGTCTTGTTGACTAACAGACAATTTGCCCAGTGGATCCCAGTCAAGCCACTATACTTGGGAACTGGCCAGTGGTTCCCTTGGTTACCTCTTGATATATGTGTATGTTATAAGGCAACCAGCCTGTTTCCTTTTGGTTTTTAACTACTTTCCCTTGGTTACCTACTTTGTAGGCAAACGGATCCACTGGGATAGGCGGCCTCTTGTGATCTTTTGTTCAACGACTGTGAGGTCAAACCGTGCACCAACGGGCTTGAAGCGTCGCCTTCAGGTGTCGGGGCTGAAAGGTGACAACAGTCGCATTGAGTCAAACCGCGGTACCCAAGTTTCCCATGTCATCTTATGGGTGTTTCTTACAGCAAGGGTCTCTAAACTGGTTAGTGCTGGTCGAAAAGGAGAGTGGCGGTTGATACCTGCTGTGCTCCACTACTTCGCCCATCCAGTGGTGGTACAAAGAACAGCAGTCGGTGGACGCTGGCCTGCATCCCGCTGTACAAAATCGGGGACAGAAGAGTCATGTGAGGCGCTACAGGCGATCCAACAGCGACTTGGAGTGACTTGTCGCTGCGTGGTGATTCGGAGAAGAAGATACCGAGAGGTCTTTGTACGAAGAGGTGAGGCGGTTGGCTCGGAGGCGCCACACTTCCTTGGTTTCCCGTCCTACCAACCAAAAAAAGGCTCCGAATCTAACTTCAAGAAACCCCTCAGAGAGAACTGTGTGGTCAGCTGAGTTCCACTTGAACATGTTTGGGGTTGGACCATTTGAGTGGCAAACCCTAAACCCTAAACCGTAAACCCTAAACCCGAAACCCTAAACCACTCCAAGTGTGGTCACTTTTTTGACCACTCCGCTGGATCGAATGTTTGACTGTCCCGTCGGAGGTTCCAGTGAGCCCGAGTTCTTCGTGAACAACGGCATGCTGGCGGTGGGCTATCTCACCATCCAGGCAAGCACCTCATCATAGCTCACGTGAGGGCATGAAGTCGAAACGGACCGGAAAGGCAGCGGTCAAAAGGATCTTGAGGACATGGAATTTGGCCTTTCCGAATTCAACCTACAGACAAGTGTTTTTGTTGCTGAAACCTAGAAAAGGTCAGACTCCGGAGCTGTGCGGCTTCGCGGCTCTTCTTTCAAGATAGCCTGTGATGGAAAAAGCACTTTCTTTAAGGCCACTTTCTGTGATATGAAAGGGGCCCGCTTGCTGTGACAAGATGGTGACATGGAAACCCACCTTGGTATCACAGAAAGGGTTGCTGGGTGCAACAGAGCTCAACATTGAACATGTTCCCAAAAGAGCAGACGTTATTCGCAGGTTGCTTTCCGCCTTTCATAAAAGTGCCCTTCGCTTTGCCCTGTGCCACCGTGAAACTCAGGGTTGAATCATGACTTTGCGCATGGCCTGACGGTTGACTTGCTAGGGGTTCTTATTGACCCAAGGAATTTAGAGAACCATTTTCAGGTCTCGTCTCCAACACTAGTTTAGATTTCAGGATTAAAAATGAAACAGAAACAGACATGTTTTTGCAATTAGTACCTTTTGTGAAGCCAGGTGAGGCTTGATCTTCACGACCCATAGCAGTTTTGAGCACACATGAGACAGGCACCCTTAGCTCACAACCCGTTTTTGCCAGTCAAGGGTAGTTTGAGATTAGAATTCCTTGGCAGTCCATAGTTATGAGTGGGACCGGGTTGGTTGACAAGCGAAGCCATGAACCTAGCCAAACACGTTGACATCTAAGTAAAAGGCTTCACTGGGCCCATTGTATGAAGTTCACGATGGACGATTGTGCGCTGTACTGCCATGGCTAGTGGCAACACAACTTCCGTGAGCAGAAGCGGGTGTTGGTGGCCCCTAGATGCTACGTTTGTCCACCGGACGAAATGCCATACCCGTGGGCCAGTACAGGGTATGGGTCAAAATTACACCACCAGGGGACCGCAGGTTTTGGTCCATGTTTCCACTTACCAGGGTTCCATTTGGGGTGCCGATGTTTGACCCACAGCCATATGCAGATGCTCATCCTTTTACAGCTCATGATGTTGGAAGAGTGTCGCCGGGACTGGGTGTGGCCCCTTCAAAGCTCACAGAGCAATCTTGGGAGGGCAACGAGCTGATTGCTGCATTCTTCTGCACCATGACGTTTGCCCTGTTTAACAGCTTACAAGGGATGCGTGACTTTGTGGGCAGACAATAATGGGCCCATTGGGATCCAGTCAGGCAATCACATACTTGCCGAACTGACTTTTTGCAGGTTGCGCAGGAGCATCAAGTAATATTGTTTGCTGTTGTCCCACTCTTTGTGGGTCGTTTTTGCAGACACGCATGGGTACAGGAAGTTTAGTCAGGATTTATCGAGAAGCTGTCTCTACATTGGTAGGCCCTTGTGGCAAAACCCACATGAGCCACTTGCTCCAAATCCGGGGATTGATGAGGTTTGGTAAGGGATAGCCCCAGCCATCAATCGGTGAATACCATGTTAATACGCAGGTTTTGAGTCGTTTTGAGTGCAACGCCCAGAGTTCGACACGCGTTCCGTTTTGTGTTTTTTTTTCCCCGGCCCAGTCGCGGTACCACTGCCTCCTGGGCTCTGATTGCAGCATCGGGCTGTCCCTGGCCGCGCGAGCCTCAAAGACGAGACGCCGTCGCGCAGCGCCGGGCGCGCGGGACGCGCCGGACGCGCGGCTTTTGTGCCGAAGCGCTATGGGGTTCCCGTGCACAGACCTTGCTGTCTGAGTACAACTTCTGGGGGTTTTGACCATTTCAGTCTGAGTTGCTGGACTTGAAGAACTTTTTGGGGGCTTTGGGCCATTCTGGTGGCAAACAAGGAGTTTGGTAACCTGTTTTGGCCAGCTCCATGGGGAGTGAGAGGCGGCTCGAGGCGGCACAAATTGGGTGTAGCTCAGAATCCCAGAGCTAGGGACACGGGACACGGAGGTTTTAGTCTTTGGTTCTATTTACCAAAGGTAGCATTTTGGTATATGTGGTTGGAGCCACAGCTACTTGGGCAAGCGTTTTCTGATATCTGAAAATGTGTGTGACTAGAATGACGATTTTAACAGAACTTACTCCTAGGGTTGACCATTGTCAGTGTGGGGGCTGTTGGTTTCAGAAGGACATTGTTTGAGAGGTAGACACGTTGGCCATGGAAAGAAAACAGCAACAACATGTAGTACTAGGCTTTCCAGGGGTTGACAGCATGAGTGGCCATTGTTCGCCAGGGTCCCAACATGGTGCCATATTTGTGACATCCCTATATAAGGGCCTAAACATAGGAGGTTTTGGGGCTACTTGTTTTTAGAAACCGCACAAATTCAGGATCCTGAGAACAAGATCAAAATGGAACCCCGAAGCCTCAAATGGTAGGTTCATAACCTGAGCGTGGTTACTCTAAAATTGCTCAGTGCTCCTACCTGACGCAATTTCCCCCTTGAAGTAGCGAAGGGCCTTGTGTGGCTTTTGGCCAAATGCGGCCGAACAATAATCCTTGCATCTCCTCCCATTCTACATTTTGGAGTAGACTACTGTTTTTGTTGTGTTCCCCTTTGTGGGCCAAATGCTTATTTACCATGCTTCTAAATAAAGCCAGCAGAAACGGGAAAACGGATCCGGTGTTTGAAAAGAACAAAAGAACTCATCCCTGCATCCCCCAGTATTGCCCGTTTACCCTTTTGGGTTGTTGGGGGAAGGGTTCCCCTACTAAAATAGACTACAGAAAAAGAAACGGTACCCTTATTCTACCCTCTCTACTGGAGGACCTAGATCCCCTAGAAGGATGACATGGGCCCGAATCGAACTTTTCACCAAAACCAGTGGTGATGCCTTTGCCGATGCTGTGCGGCTTGGAGGACGCTTGCTACGCTGCAGATTTGATTGGCGGATCTGGATCGCTCTGCCCAGCACTCATCGGCAATCCGAGCCTCGTCAAGATGAAGGCGCGACCATCGCCACGTCGGTTTGACAACAGGGCCGAGGCACCGGGTGAACATCACACACTGCGACTACTACTTACTGACTCAGGCCACTACCTGCTACCCCTGGACGAAGATCCCGCTACCTGAAAAACGCACCTTGGGCCTTGCCCGGATGCCCCCAGGTCTGCGTCTTTTAGGTGGCCTTTGTTCATTGGAATTTCCTGGTACATGGATGCTTATGTACCACGAATACACGCTTGTGTTTGCAGTATAAATATATATATATATATATAGGTATATATATATAATATGTACTCCGTGCATAAGTGGTGTATCGCCTCCATAGCTCCGAAACTGCCAGAAAATGATCCGAGGCGCTGGTGAACCAACGCGCGGTGCTCTTTCCGGGCACTGCCAGTTGCTCTGAGGCTCCCCGTCGGCAGGGGGGGAGGGTTCTCCATTGGGGGTCCACATGGGTGTGGCTCCAAATCAAGCAGCTGGGGTTACGCAGATTTTAGTCTTTGGTTCCATTTGCCGTTTTGGTACATGTTTGTGTGCCACAGCCACATATTTCCTTTCTGTGGAACATCCTTTTAGCATGAGCTTCCTCTTGGTCCATGGTGATGATTAAGATAAGGGGAGGAACAAACAGGGGAGCCCTGTCACTGTGCGGTTAACATCTCCAGTCCATGGTGATTTGGAGGGACATTGGGAGACCCTTCTGAGCAGCAGCATGTGATCACCGTTTGCAGAAAGTCTTCGTCTGGCACATCCTTCGACCAAAAGGACAGCAACCTAACACCTTGGTGACGCTACTCCCCTCCCAACGCATGGGTGTCGTTTAAGATCAATTTGGTTGAACGATGGCAGACTGGTTGCACCTCACTTTGGTTCTACCCTAAGGGTCCGATCGGGGCTTGGCATACAGAATCCAGAACAACCAGCGGTCCCCGTGCCACACCTCGAGTTGCTTTCAGGGTCTCAAAACAAGTGATTTTGGAGCCCCAAAATCCATCAAGACCCTTCGGGCAATCACATTTCAGTGCCGTGAATTCCTCACTTCTCCAAAGCGAATCGACCTTCCTTTTTTCACCTTCTTTTGGGGAAGGGTTCCCCTTTAAACTTCAAATAAAAATGACCTCTTTTTTGCCTCGGAAATCCACATCTCACCGCCAGGCTGACTTCAGCCTCGCCTCGCCGTGGTCTGCGGCGAGGAACGTCTCAGGCGCGGGGGCGAGACGTCGGTGTTCCGCGGGTTTCGGGATGAAACAGGTTGGTGGATTCATAGGGGGAGTGTAATCCCAGGGTGGAAAAGGGTGGAAAGGGTGGAAAAAGGGAAAAGGAAAAGAAAAAGTACTCCCAGGGTGAAAAGGACAACATTTTTCATAGGGTGGAACAAAGTGGTTTGGGGCTTTCAGGGAGGGTTCCCGAGGTTCCCGAGGCTCCCGGCGGTTGGGGATACCGCCGGGCTTACTCTTCTTTTGGGAGGGGGGGAGGTTGTGGGCTGGTGGCCATTTTGCTGAATAGGATAATCCCCCTATGAATCAGGGAGAGTACCCCCAACATTGAAGGATTCTCCTGAATGGGATACCCCCTATGAGTCAATCATAGGTTGATTCATTCTAAGTTTATGCAACATGTGAAGCAAGACCTTCTGTAACAAATGACGTTACGTTTGATAATAAATTTCTACTAGCAGAACTGGTATCACTCGCCAAATTCCCATGTCAGTTGGGGGGGGGGTGGGCGCAATTTTGCAAGAGACAAACGGTATAGTATATTGAAAAAAACACTTGTTGAGTCATTCATGGGGCAGTTTCAAATCCGGAGTTCCTGGACTTTCCACTTTTGAGGTTGGGTGAAGATCGCTTCTCTTTTGGGCCATCCACTCGAGCGGAGAGCTGAGGTAAGGGCAACCCAAGGAAAACGCAGATCGATGCTCAGGCGCTCAGCCCACCGCAAACTGGTCCGTCTTCGAGTTCGGGAACGCCTCCAGTGACGGGTACTACCAGATTTGACGGGATGCCTAGCTGGCGGCAGAGAAAAGGAATGGATCCTAGGTCCCTTGCCAGACCAAAGGCTTGCCAACTTCTTGAGTTGTTTTTTTTGTAATCAATATCCCTTACCAACAAGAGTTGGGAGTGTTTTTTTTGCTTCTGGATTCCCAACAACTGTTGGTCTTCCTTTCGGCTCCCCTTTTAAACCACAAAAAAGAGGTACCCTGAGAAAAGGAAAGACCCAGTTGACTTTTTGTAGGGAACATTGTGGGGTCCCCAAGAGGAATTACTCTCGGGTGGTGCCCTTTAAGCCAGTCCTGCCCACCCTCTCCCTTGTCCCTTGTCCCCAAGACCTACCCAAGGCCTAGCTAGATAAGCCTTCGTAGGCGGTCTTTGGTTGGGCCACAAAGCGTCACCAGGGGAACCAAATGGAGACATTGATTATTGGTGCCAACCCGTCGCAGACCTTCTGCCCTTTAGTTTTGTTTCTCCAATTTGATCTTTTGCGACCAATGGCCCCATGCGGGTGTCCTCAAAGAGACGTCTGCTTCAGGTGAACTATTGAGCAAGTCACGCAGTGCCGGAAAGTTGCAGACTTTGTGCCCTTGAGACAAAACGAGCTAAACAGCATAGATAGACGGAAGAGAGTGGGGGCGAAAGAGACTCTTTTTTTTGGGGGGGGAAGGGGGGCAAGAGTTCTTGTGGGGTGTGTCTCCAAGTGTAAGAAGTACACAACTGGGCCGTTTTTCTTTGGTTTCCAATGAACGGTTCACGCAAAAGACCCGAGCTGGGTGCAGATTTCACTTTGTTTCAGTGTGAGTTTCGACGAAATGGACCCGACCTCGGTTGAGGCTTCCCGGACTTTCACTGGGGTCGTTTGGTTGGTTCTGTTTTGGGGGCGTATCAAAGGCCGGAAATGGGGTTGTTGCCCTTTAACCCACCACTTAGGGGGTGACTTTGATGATGGTAAGAAGCATAGGCCAGCATTCATCAGAGGCAAGCAGGAAGCCGTTGGGCTTTGTTTGACCAATCCACTCAGGAAAGAAGTTCAACGTGGAGTCAGGCAATATGTGTCTGCGTGTTTGTTGTGGCACTCCGCTTTTTTGTTGGGTAGTTCTAAGGTTGCATGTTGCATTTGACTGACCAAACTGGCATCTTTATTCAATACACCCCTGGTTTCTGCCTAAATTTCCGGTGCCTAGGGATTGGCTGAGGTGTTTGCACCAACTACGACGACGGCCTGGGCCCTGGATCTGAACTCATGTGGGGGCAGCGCCGCGCGGGAGGCAACCTTCCAACAAGACTTGCCGCTGCGATCGGGGAAAGAGTTGGAAGGGCCCAGTGATGTTTTTTCCCCGGGATCATTCCAACTCATGCCCTACTGAGCCAGCAAGTCAACTTTCGATTCGGAGACCTGTCAGGGCAAAGGGAATGAGAATTGGAACGACCCCGAGAAAACCAGGATGACCAAAGCGCTTTGGGCGCTTTGGAAAGGATGCCCTTCGCGACAGGTCTCCGAATCGAAGGAAGACTTGCTGGCTCAGTAAGGAATGAGAATTGGAATGATCCCGGGGAAAAACCGTCAATGGTGGCTTCCTTTAAGGGAATCCCCAGGTTCATTCCCGCATTCCCTGCTCAGCACCAGCAAGAAAAAGACTGCGGCTCCCTGTTTCCCTTTTTGTTTGGCGGATTCCCGCTTCTGCTGAGCAGCAAAAAGGTGATTATTTTCCACCAGGGGCGCCAGGTAACGTTGGCGCATGTGCCCTTTGTCTCTTGTTCTGTCCTGAAGAAATGCCAGGCTTGTCCCAAAATATGGGAACCCTTAAAAAGCTGCCGCGACATAGAGACACACTCATACCAGCCAAGAGCCAGAATCTCGCAACTTGAAGTTCTCGAAAGCCGAGGTAGTTCTTTCGCGTGAGCCGTGACAAGCACCTGCACTTGAAACCCCACTACGCCCTTCATCGGGATTTGTCGGTTAAGAGATCTCGAGTCCGCTAATGCAGTTTTATAGCTATCGAGGCCAACAAAGAGGCCCCCCCCCCCCAATCCAAATGGGCGCTAATGCATAGCGTCAATTCTGTCCGAAGCAAGGGTTGTTTGCTGGGGTGCTTCCGCTTGGCATTGGATAGATTACCTGACCATGCTACTGGGAAGCAGCTGGGTCTCCAGCTGGGTCCCCATCAGCCCCTGCCCGGTCTGAAGTTTCAGCTTGAAGTTCAGAACCCCCCGCCTCCGTGGAAGCCCCACGCTCGCAAGAATCAGTCCTCGGCTTTCTTTGCTCGGAACTCCGCGCCAAAAACTTTTTGTCTGGTTGGCGGCCCCCAAAAGTGGATGTCCATCGTTTCAATGGACACTTAGCAGTGATCAACTCTTGATCTTATCGGGTTCCTCGGCTTTCGAGAACAACTTTTGTGACGGGAAATCCGTGACCCGTGCCCCCTCTTCCTCGCACGGCGGTTTCGGAGGGTTGCGGGGATGCTCCGGATGGGAGGCCTAGATGGTATGACCTGCAGCCGCTTCAGCGAGCCCCGACGCCCAGCAATTGGGCCAGTGGAGTCTGGAGCAGTGCCTAGTGATTCTTGTATAGTGGGTAAGCAAAGGAAGGTGCTGAAACACCAAATGGAAAACAGCTGGTTGCCTTATATATATATACATACATATTGTAGTTAACCAAGGGCTTGCCACCCGATACAAAAACCAAAAGGACATTGGTAGGTTATTTAATTTAGTGGTAACTGGGATGCACTGGGTTGGAGGGTTGTTCAACATGGGGATGCCATTCTAGCTATCTCCATGATCCTATGGGAGGTGACCCCTAGATGACCCCAATGGATTTGTTGGACCCTCATTGCCCTCACTGGGACAACCACGCAACTGTGCATTTCTCCTTTCTCCGGGCTTGTGGACATGGGTTAAAGCGAAAGGTAAGGAAATGCCTGGGTCCATTGGGGCCTTTTTATGTTGAACACCCCTCACCAATCCCTCAATTGAGTGTCCCCACTACCAGCTCCGATCCATGGTGCTTTGGATGAACCCGCAGTTAGTATTCGGTCCAATGGCATCTTCACAATCACCCTGAGGGTGCACCCACTGAAAATATGTTGACAACAGTAAGCTTGGTTTCCTTCACAGCCAAATGGAAAGTAAGTTTGGTTTTCAGTGGCCCCAAAAACATATCCAGCCACAAAAGTAAGCTTGAGAGCCCAAGTCTCAGGGACCCAGTAGCTGAGGGACCCCAAATGCTTGACAGAGGTCCAAGTCCGGGCAGATGACTCTGGTGTTTCCTCAGATTGATTGGCGACTCTGGTGTCAAAGCACATATTCAACAAAGCAAAGGCACCCACGAGGAAGCGATTTTGTGGGGTGGACACGAATTGCCGAGTTTCACTCACCCTTCTCACCACGCAGTCCAGGATTCGTGATTTGTGTGTAGCTGTTTGCCAGAACCCGCTAATTAACCAGGAATCCAACCCCGCATGATGGTGACTAGAGCAGGTTCCTGTCAACGGCTAAGGGCGGCTAAGGGTCCAACCGCCTTGTCTTTGTTATGAAGGGTGTGATGAAGGTAGCGTTTCTTCTTACTTGAAAGTAGGTTTTGTTTGGGGTTGTCTGCGTTTTTACCGGGTTTATGATCCCTCGGCTACATCTGTTTTTTTAGACAACTGGCGAGGCAGCATATTGGCGCCATACCTGCAGAATCTATACCTAGCCAACCTATAAAAAGAAGAGTGTAAGCCCTCTTACCAGGTTGTCCCGAGATGTTCCTCGATGACGCCATTGCTCCAAGCCTTACGATCAAGTCAGGGTAGAAGATTGGTTTGCTTCCACTTGCTGACATGAATATATATATATATATAATATATATATATATATATGTATATATATATATATATATCGTGTATTCCCTCCTGCTGGCCTTAGAGGGAATCTATCACTACTGAAAATATGTTTTTTCTTCCAGGGGAATTAGTTTAGTAAATGGAAGTTTGGTTTCCTTCACTTTCCCTTGAGGAATTTGAGGGGCCAAATTTCCAGGCTGACTGCTTTGGGGCAACCCCGCTGCGTTTCCTCTTGCCAACATCTTCCCCAAAGGCGGGACAAGGTGGCATGAGCTCACCATGAAGGTCCTCTACTTGGGCCACCCCTTACTTCCCGAGGTTTTCCATTTGCTGACATGTTTATATGTTGTATTCCCTCCTGTTGGTTTTTAAATGGACTCTATTACTACGGAGTCTATCACTACTGGAAATATGTTGCTTTTGTCTTTTTTCCAGGGGGCGAAAAAGCAAATGGACGTCCTTTCCTTGGGACACCCTTGCTTCCTGAGTTTTTCTTTTTTTTTCAGGGGCCTTCAAGCAAATGGAAATCCTTTCCTTGGGGGAGCCCTTGCTTCCGGCTCTGAGGTTCTACGAGGCGGCGGGCTCGCTGACGGTCGCCCCCGAGGCGGGCCCGGGGCCCGGGGCCTGCGCGACCCACTTGGTTTTTGGGGTCTAGATATCTTGCTGGGAACCGAAGCCATTCGGCTCCTTGGGTCTTTAGTTTGGTTTTCTCAGTTCCTGAGTTCATGAACTTTAAACTTTTTGGGAAGACCGTTTTGGTGGTAAATATAAAGTTTGGACCTTTTTTTGGGCCATCCACTCAGCCAGTGAGTTTTTTAGTTGGTTTAGAACCCGCAAGCCAATCCCCAAAGGGGGAGAAGAAACGGACTTGTGGCTTTCGGGGGCCTACAAACTTCAGTGACTCAGGCGGTACCCTACGCCTACTCTTCTCGCCCCCCCCCCCCCCCAATTTTGCGAGTGGTGTATTTGAAACTGGCAGTTTCTTGGGGGTAAACACAAGGTGTTTCTATTTTCCATTGTTCTTGTGTTTGCAACTTTTCCTTGTTTTCCATAGTAAATACCTTCTTTTTAGTCATGGGTTTACATACGCTAGCCGAGGGTACTGGGGTTGATGTTGACATTGGCTTTGAGACAGCCAAGGGGGTAAAGCGGGGCTTCAGATATTGCCCCATTCAGTCATTCCGTTTAGCGGTATAATTTGTATCTACCCAATAGAACCGCCCTTTAAAAAATAAGAACATGGCCGGCTACTCATTGTAGTGATAGCTGGGATCCACTGGGGAAGGCAAAACCAGTTGTGCTTCTAGATTTTACCTGTTTCATTGTTTTTGTTCCCCAGGGATCAGTGAATAGAGTATTCAAGACAACCTTTTGCATGTGTTGCTCATAAGAAAACGAAGCCCACGAGAGCAGAGTTTGTGTTTTGCCTCGTATTCGCATAAGACTTCGGGGTGAAGTCTCTTTCTGCCGCGGAGGCTCCGCGTGGCTTCCAGTAGGGTTGATACGCCCAACCAAAGCTCATTCAGGTAGGCGTTGCCGCACCGGGCTTGGTATGCAGAATCCAGACATCCCCGTACCACAGATGCCTCTTGGTAACCAAGGGCCTCCAACCCCTCAATTGCAAGGAAAACGGCTGGCTACTGGTTTCCATATATGTGATTGAGGCATGGAAGGATGCTTATTTACCAACAATATAAGCTTGTACAATCAACCCCCAGCCATTTCAGCAGGTGGTTCTACCACCGCGTTTCATTTGGGTTACAGTTGTAGTAAATGATCATTTGTGTTGTATAGGGAACCACCTCACAAGTGGTTGATCACCTCTTTATCTCCACTGAATTGTGATGTTCACAGAAGGTTGCAAAATAGGGATCTGTTTGGGATGGTTTGAAGCAGACGCCTGGAGATCAACCTGGGGTCTCTAAATTTCATGGGATTGGACAGAAACACTTCCTCTAAACCACAACGATCTTAGCACCAACCATCCCCAGACATTTCGATTGTAGGTAATATATACCCACAGAACTAGCCTCCAAAGGGGTCAGTTCTGTTGGTTTTTCCTACACTTGGTGGCTCCCAGCCATCCCCTTAGCCTTTTAGCCATTTAGTGTTTAGTGGCAGTTTCCATTTAACCCACTAAAAGTTAAGCTTTTAGCGGGGGATCTGAGGGCAGCCCAGCCCATGGGTTGTTTGGGCTCCGCGAAGTGGCGTCAGGTGTCACTGCTCTTTGAGGCGGGCATTGCGGCGGCCGAGCCCTCAGTGACGACTCGCCGTGTGGGTTCACGGGTGGGTGGATTTGTTTTTCTTGGGAAACATGCGTAAACATTTCCGGCATTTGGAGCCCGTTTGGGGGGGTTTCCGGCATTTGGGATCCCGACTTCAGGAGACCCTCATGGAAGTGGGTTCTGAAGTGGTCATTTTGAGGACGCCAATTTCAAGGGGAGCCGGTTTGGCGATGCGGCTCTGAGGTCCTCAACGTGAGCCGTGGAACTGGTCGGGCGCCAGGAGTGGCTAAGTGGACACGCTGGTTGAACACCTACGACTCACTCCCTGAGCTCAAGTTAGCCCGAAGCTATGGCAGTCCTGAGTGTGGTGGTTTTCCTGAAAACCCACGAGGATCATGTTGAGGATGTGTCTGTAGTACCTTGGTACCTCACTCCCTGAGTCGTGGACTTTACACTTTTGGGGTCTGGACCATTTTGGCGGCAAGCGACAAGTTCGGACTTTGTTTTGGGCGAGGTGAGGGCTTGGTCCAGTGTTGATATCCCACAGTCCCACAGTGGATGACTGGCTGGTTTTCAGGAGAGAACTATTTGATGGCGGTTTGGGATGGGGAAGTTAAAGCTGGCGGGTTCAGTTTGGTCATTCCCTCGGCTCTACTGAAACCCAGCAAGATGATGATCACGCACTCAGATGTCTGGTTTCCATCTAGCCCAGCCCTTTTTCCCCCTGCAGGGTATCTGTATCGCGAAGGCATCGCCTGAGCCACTGAGTGGCACTGTGATAGGGTCAAGACAACACTTCAGAGACAATGACTTGCCTGTGGATTGAATTCTTAACTCTTGAACTATTTATTATTTATTATTGTTATTGTTTTGTTCCAAATTTGTGGCGCGGGGCCAGCAAACATTCAATCGTGTCTTGCACTCATATTATTTGCTCAGATGGGTCTATGGCTATGCCGACTTGCTTGGGCCCAACATGTGTGGTTTCTTTTATTATAAAGCACTGTGGCACAGAGCAGCGAATATGAGAGGCAGCGCAAAGAGTTTTTCCGCACAAATGTGTGGCAATAGCAGGGTCGATCGGGACGGATGCATTGCTTCCTTCAAGGGGAACAAGCACAAGGTGGTGTCAAGGTGGTAGAATTTAATCAATTTAAATTCAAGCGGGCGTTTGTTCATCCGTCAAATGATTTCCTCCCAACGCGAAAATTGAGGTTTGGCTGCCTCCGACAGGCGGGCGGGAGTTAAACGGACCCTCACCCCTGAGATTTGGTTTTCTCATCCAAGTGAGGAAGTGACTAGGGCAGATGCCAATTGCACCTCTCAACCGGAGCAAGGAATGGGCAGAAGGGACCAAAGGAAACACATGGAGAGTTAACTTTGGTGCATGTTGCTTGGATGTTAGGACTGGACAACTTTTGCCAACTAATGGGTTTTCCGAACTAAACCACTGAAAGTTGAAAACTTTGAGCAGGGCAGCAGATTTCGCAACCGAGTTCAGGTGGCTGAATGGTCCCACAAAGCTTCCAGAGTTGAACTTAGCTCCCACAAAGCTTGCCAACGAAGCTGGCTTTGACATGTCGCCGTGGTTGTCAAAACCGTTTTGGGATCCCATTTTGGTTGGTAGGTGAATTCACCACCCATTTTAGAACCTATTTTAGTGGTTGGATTGAATCCGATGTTGCAAGCAGAACCGTTTCTTTGTTTGAACACACACATCAACTAATGCTTGTAACATAGATATCTAATAGATAGTTGGGACACCATACCAGTACCATTGCCTGAATCAACCTGTTTGAATGTTGGCCCTTTGGCGTTCCTTAATTTTGATTTAGCCAGCAACAAGTCAACACAAATACAGGAGGCATCCGTTAGCACAGCGTTCCCCTTGGGCGAAAGAAGCAGTCTGGCCGAGGGTATTCCCACGGGCCGCTATCCATTGCTTCAATTTGCTTGAGAATATGTTTCATTTTCCCCTGTTGGTTTTAAAGGAAATCTATCACTGCTAGACGTGTTTGTATTGTTTCCCAGGGGAGTTAGGCAAATGGAAGATTGGCCAGTGCTCTTGCTCCTTGTTTTCTTGATCTAGGAGACCTCATCGCTCGTGCATTCGGACGATTTGTGTCTTACAGGTGGACATTATGGTTGTTGAATGACATTATGGTTGAACTCAGGAAGCACCTTTATTGAGGCATATGTTTGCCCCATGGCAGGGTGGGGCCCCCATTACGGGACCTTGTTCAGGGTTTCTCCGAACCTCAAAACAAGGAGCAAACCATAAGAAGGGTACACCACGGGCATCGTGTTTCTCTTCTTCGGGGCCACATTTGAGGTAAGCCTTATGTGGTGGTTTGAATTGGGGGTTTCGGGATTTGATCCGGACTTCATGGTTGTAGTTGGGAAACATTTTACATGTTTGCTGATTGTGGTTTAGTGGTTGAAATCCAACCACTGAACTGCTAAAACTTAAATTTTGGCCCCCCTTCCAACGTCAACCAAGACTTTGTAAGGGGTAAATGAGAAACCTCCGCTCCAAACCGCCAAGCCAAATCACCAGTGGGGTGTGCCATTCCTTTTCGTGGGGTTTCCAGAGGCGTTGCGCCTCTGGTTTGGTTCAACCGCCCAAAACCGATTTCTATCGGTAGGGTTCCAGTACCTTGTGTAATTTGTAGCCCAACATGGGCCAGCAGGTAGCTTCAAGACCATGTTCTTCCAGACCTCCTACGACATTGTTTGTGGGTTTCAAACACAACCAAAGGCTGTTTTTTGGGGGGGTCCGAGTCCTAAAAATGACACGCCCCTGACCGCAGGCTGCTCTACCTGCCGGGTCTTCAGTGCAACGTGTCCAGCGCAGGCGCATGGCCGATGGGACCCTACCCCCTACCCCAGCAACGACCCCCAGCCGTGAAGGCGGGATTTTCAGTATTTTCTGAGATGCTTGAGCTTATTTGTGCTGGTATAAAAGGACACCAAAAGGACCGCTACGATTTTTGGGGTCCCTGTTTTTGACAGAACAACACTAAAGGAAAGCCTCATCTTGGGGGGACAAAAACCCGTTTGGCCTTATTTGAGGAGGAAGCGGCTTGCGATTAGTTTGTTTAATTACATCCCCCTGTCTGGAAGAAATGCCCTGGCACATGTGATCCTTGGCCCGAGACACATTCGACGGTTTGCCTGCAGCTTAGTGCTATCTGGTGGTTTGGGGGTCAAGTTGCTTGCAACCCGAAGGGTTTTCAGGGATTAGATGCTCAGTTGACTCCGGGCCCACCTGAGATCCTGTTGCATTTAACAGCTTTGGGTACCCAAAGGGGCTTCCGGGACCACCTGAGTCTTGTGTTTCCCGATCCTGTTTCCAGGACCACCTGAGTCTTGTGTTTCCCGATCCTGTTGCATTTAACAGCTTTGGGTACCCAAAGGGGCTTCCGGGACCACCTGAGTCTTGTGGTTCCCGATCCTGTTGCATTTAATAGCTTTGGGTACCCAAAGGGGCTTCCGGGACCTCATGAGTCTTGTGTTTCCCGATCCTGTTGCATTTAACAGCTTTGGGTACCCAAAGGGGCTTCCGGGACCACCTGAGTCTTGTGTTTCCCGATCCTGTTGCATTTAACAGCTTTGGGTACCCAAAGGGGCTTCCGGGACCACCTGAGTCTTGTGTTTCCCGATCCTGTTGCATTTAACAGCTTTGGGTACCCAAAGGGGCTTCCGGGACCACCTGAGTCTTGTGTTTCCCGATTCTGTTGCATTTAACAGCTTTGGGTACCCAAAGGGGCTTCCGGGACCGCCTGAGTCTTGTGTTTCCCGATCCTGTTGCATTTAACAGCTTTGGGTAATCAAAGGGGCTTCCGGGACCACCTGAGTCTTGTGTTTCCCGATCCTGTTGCATTTAACAGCTTTGGGTACCCAAAGGGGCTTCCGGGACCGCCTGAGTCTTGTGTTTCCCGATTCTGTTGCATTTAACAGCTTTGGGTACCCAAAGGGGCCTCCGGGACCTCATGAGTCTTGTGTTTCCCGATCCTGTTGCATTTAACAGCTTTGGGCACCCAAAGGGGCTTCCGGGACCACCTGAGTCTTGTGTTTCCCGATTCTGTTGCATTTAACAGCTTTGGGTACCCAAAGGGGCTTCCGGGACCGCCTGAGTCTTGTGTTTCCCGATCCTGTTGCATTTAACAGCTTTGGGTACCCAAAAGGGCTTCCGGGACCACCTGAGTCTTGTGTTTCCCGATCCTGTTGCATTTAACAGCTTTGGGTAGCCAAAGGGGCTTCCGGGACCACCTGAGTCTTGTGTTTCCCGATTCTGTTGCATTTAACAGCTTTGGGTACCCAAAGGGGCTTCCGGGACCGCCTGAGTCTTGTGTTTCCCGATCCTGTTGCATTTAACAGCTTTGGGTACCCAAAGGGGCTTCCGGGACCACCTGAGTCTTGTGTTTCCCGATCCTGTTGCATTTAACAGCTTTGGGTACCCAAAGGGGCTTCCGGGACCACCTGAGTCTTGTGTTTCCCGATCCTGTTGCATTTAACAGCTTTGGGTACCCAAAGGGGCTTCCGGGACCACCTGAGTCTTGTGTTTCCCGATCCTGTTGCATTTTTCCCAGTTTTGGGTACCCAAAGGGGCTTCAATCCCTCTAGACGCTTGCGAAACGCCACGCCACGCCACGCAACGATCGGGTTCCAGTGGCCTTCCTTCGAGCCATTTATGGCATACCAACCCTTTTAAGTGATACAGTCAGAGAGATGGCCCACTTTTCGTATCACAAGGGTGATTGTCCGCCATCGAATCATTGTAGTGGTCTCATGTGTCCTTGCCCTTTCCTTTTCAAATAGCTGCGCCTCCCTTGCTCGATCGACCTTGGACCTTCAATCGACCAATGTGTTCTTGCAGTGACATGGCTTGCTAGCATCATTCTGGGATTGCGCCAACGCAGCTAAGGCAAGGGATCTTTGCCATCGAGCATATTGACACAGCCGGCCTGTCAGAAAATGACAAGGATGAGATTTTGATGGAGATCCTCTCCAAATCTGAGAAGAGCTTTGGCCACTCGAGGCAGGTGCAAGAACACCCAAAGTTCAAGCAGTTGCACAAGTACCTTTTTGTCTACACCAAGGGCAAGAAGAACACTGAGGGCACGAGGACGAGCAGCAGTATGTCAAGCACTGCTGGGTCGAATCACTAAAAAAAAGCAAAAAACACAGGGAGGTTCAACAATGTTTGGGAGTCCCCAGACCTTTAGTTGCCATGGGAGGATGTAAGACCCATTTGTTGGTGGTTGATGTTTGGTACCCCCCTCCAACCATCCTGGAAGCTGACAGAATTTCGTGGAAGCATTGCTAGTTCTTCGAAATCCCGTTTTTCTAGGGGACACTTCCCCATTCTTTCCAGGGATCCTTGTTTCCAGAAACCATCAGAACCCCAGGGGAAACAGCTGGTTTTTGAAAAGAACCATGGTTGAAAAGAATGGTTGGAATCAACCCCTAGAGTTTTGGACCAACGCCAGGCTTGTCTCCGGTGGCCAGCCCTGCGCAGGTGGAGGCCACAAAAAACACGCGGGAAGAGAGCGAACTAATATGGGGTTGTCTCAAAATCGTGAACTCTTTGTTGGCTGGTGTCTAAAGGGAACCGCAGGGAACGCAATTTGGGACAGACCCAACCACAACAAATGCGCAAGATGCTTTGAGATTTGAGAGTCATTGATATGAGGGGCTGCGTGAGTAATTACTGACTGGGTGCTAAACAGCACAAGATGTTGTTCAACTTTAAAAAAGGTACCCATAAACACCAGTGGCTGACAGAATCATTGGTGGTCGACTGTTGGTGAGGGGGGGGGAACACAACACATGGGCGGGTGGGGGGGGTCCCACCCGAATTTCCCATCAACAAACATACAAGGGGCCCAACCTCCGACCATGTCCTCTTCGGGAAGCAAGCAATTTCGGGGTGACATCATCACTGACATTAGTTATGTGAAGTGGGCTTTCACGTCAGTTGTTTGAAGATGTGGGGGCATATAGCCCCGACACGTTGAAGCCTACCTGGACCTGCGTTTGTTCTGGCTCTGACTCTTGGTGACTTTTGATTTTGAAGTATTGATGTTCGAGGGGCCCAAACTAGAAGCTTCCTTTTGGGGTGATCTGTCGGAAGGGGGTTGTCAGCGTCCTTTTTCAACCGCAGAGCGTCCAGCCTTGCGAAGGGGACGCCCCCCAAAAATGACCGAAGTTTGACGCAACCCCCGCGATTTCCTTGACCCACAGTCTTTCAGGCCCTCCTCCCCTCCCTCAAACCCTCCCAAACCCTCCCAAACCCTCCCAAACCCTCCCAGCCTCACAAGCTTGTGACCACCCCAGACTTAGTGGTTCATTGCCCCTAATAGGAGAACCCCTGACTTGAAGTCCATCTTGAAATAGTCAAGACGTGGAACCCTGTTGTTACCTGTGTCACAGACGGTGGATGGGTTGCAAGATCCATTTCTCACCGTTCAGAAAACCTGGTCTCTGACGATTCCCTGGTGTCCCATGGGTTCGAAGCGGTGCGAAATGGACTTCGTCCACAGGACGAACATGGAGTTAGAAAGAATTGCTATTCGTAGGGTTTCTGTACCAGCTACTTCAAATCCTTCAAACCATGGTGGGCGTTTGTAGGTGTTTGGAGTAGGTATCAGGTACCCACAGATTGACACGGAACCCAAATTCCCAGGCCCAGTGTGACTTGTTCTTAGGATGGAATCCCCGGAATTCCCGGGTGTTCCCTCGGCTTTTCCTTCTGGCGTCCCTTTAAAAGCTGCAAACAGCGGGGTACCCGAAGAGCCAAATCCACAGCTCACGAATCTCTCGAGCCCGAGCAGCTGCCCTGAGCCAAACAGGCGCAAGGCTTTGCCTCCGTTAGCGTTTTCGTCCCCTGGAAAAAGACATGTTTCCAGAAGCCTTTAAAACCAACAGGGGAAAATAAATCAAACAGTCTCAACCAAATGGTGCTGTTAAAGTTGCTTTCTCCAAAGATGTCTTGCCAGTTCTGGGCTGCCCTCAGATCCCCTACTGAAAGTTTAACTTTTAGTGGGTCAAATGGAAACCGCACTAAACACTAAAAGTCTAAAAAGCTAAGGGGATGGCTGGGAGCCACCAAGAGTTTACGAGAACGGCCTGTTCTTTCTGGTTGACCATACATGTTCAACACTTGGAGGTGGGGGGGGAGCCCTGGGCTTAAGTCTGGGGTGGTCACAAGCTTGTGAGGCTGGGACGGTTTGAGGGAGTTTGGGAGGGTTTGAGGGAGGGGAGGAGGGCCTGAAAGACTGTGGGTCAAGGAAATCGCGGGGGTTGCGTCAAACTTCGGTCATTTTTGGGGGGCGTCCCCTTCGCAAGGCTGGACGCTCTGCGCTTGAAAAAGGACGCTATCGGGGGGGAGGGGAGGAAAAACTCCCCACGGCCTCGACCCGTTCGCAGGCCACCGGGGCCTGGGCCAGCTATGGCTTGGGCGCCGGCGGCACTGAGCTCACCAGCCGGGGACCCCGCTACCTCCTTTCTTGTTGGTTTTAAAAGGAATCTAATATGTATGTTGAATTGTTGACTCAATTTTAAATCAATAGAAGGATTGTTGACTCCCTTTAGAATTGTTGAATCTTTCTTGTTGAATTTTAAGCCCTAATATGTATGTTGACTCCTTGTTTGGGGGGGGGGAAGATGAAAATCCCGCCAAAGTCCAGGGAAAGCCTAGCCGCGTCAAAGAAGGAGGTCTTGGGCTCTTTGGCATAGGTGTCCTTTTGGGGCAAATAGATGGGTTTTTCCCTAAACCATTTAAACCAGGACTCGCCATCAATTTTCCACCAAAACAACCAAAAAGGGCACCTCTCCTAGGTGGCTCAAGTCCCACCCCAGGTCCTCCAGTAGAGAGGTTAGAATAAGTTGGTACCCTTTCTTTTTTCTGTAGTCTATTATAGACAGGGAACCCAAAACCAACCAAAAAAAAGGGGTGAGAGGTCGGGCACCAGTAGAGATTTGAAGCCTAGGTTTGTCGCATGTTGGGCAAGTAAAGACGGTTTCTGCTGTTTGGCTGGATTTTAGTCTCTTTTTGCGGACTATGCGGCCAAAGTTGCACCAAACCTGGGTCAGTGTTTGACACCCTGCATTTCTGCCCCCCCCCCCCCCCCAAAAAAAAAAAAAGACGAGGCGGTACAGGTTTAGGGTCCAGTAAACACTTTGTCTGGACTTGAGTCACCGGGGAAGAAGACAATTTTCGTGGTAAATAAACGGTTTGGTTTGAGAAACCTTATTTGGGGTGGTCTTTCAAAGGGAACCAACAGGACAACCCAGAATAGTTGTGACACATACCCATTTGTTTAGGCATTGTGTTTGATTTCCCCTGTTGGTTTTAAAAGGAATCTATCGCTACTGGAAAAGCGTGATTGTTTTTCCACGGGACTCAAGCACATGGAGGAGAGCAAAAGCGTCCAAAGACCCGGCTACAGTGGGTTGCTGCAAAGAACCTTCTTTACCCTTTAAAGGGTGTCCTTTTGTAGGGGAGCTTTTTGGTGGCACCTTGGGCGTCACCAACCATAGGTAACCCTTCGGTATGTTGAGCTCCAGGTTGTATCATAAAATGGTTTCCAGCGGCTTGCCTGGAGCACATGAGTTGGAAGTCTGCTTTTTGGAAATCGGCTTCAGAAGCCATGTTGGCCTTTGCCCAATACCGACCTTTGATGTTCCTGTTCCTGGCAACACGTGATCGCCACAATCGTGGAAGCAGCAGGCATCCGGCAAGTGCATCAGAGAATTGAAAGCTGTATGCCAGGCAACCAGCGCATCAGAGAAGTTTCACTTGTTGCGGAAGCACAAGAAGATCCCCAAAAGCAAGACCAACCACTTCCGAGTGCCTACGCATGGCGTGACAGAGCGTGACAAAGCACACACGCTTTATAATTGATCGTAGAATTAGCGTGCGCATGATCAGGAATCAGGATCGTTATAACCTCAGTGGTTGCATTGTTGTTTGTGTGTGTGCCTCACCTCTGTAGCATGTTGGCAAGCAAGGCCGCGATGCCTGATTCTTCTGTGCTATCTCATGGCGTACATGCCCCAGCTATCCGCTGTGGCGGCCGACTTGGACGCTGTGGAGTTCTTCTGTGGCCGGGGCCGCTTCAGCGCTGCGTGCCGTGACCGAGGCAAGCTGTGCAGACACCCACAGACACACCGCACTCTCAAGCGACTGAACGCTTGCAGGGCTCTTAGTGAAGAACTTTGACAATGAGCTGACTCCGGAGCTGGATTTGACAAGCCCATCCATTTGGTGCAGCACGCAGCGTCCGGTGTCCGGGGTCCCCTCATGAGTTGCCCCAGCGCCGGGTCTCCAGCAATTCCACTGCTCACACCCTAAAGGGGCCCCCGAACACATCTTCTTGGGAAACGACTGAAATAGACCAGTATCAAATTGGTGCGTTGGGGGTGGGGGAGTAGGAAACAGGGTTGTGGGATCAAGGGGTTTCTGCCCACTTCTGTGATACAAGGGAATCTTCCCTTTGATATGGTGGATTAGTCTTTGGGAAGCCCATTTTGTTGTATCACGGAAGTGGTCATTTCCCACAGCCCTGGTAGGAAACGTTCTATGAACCAATGAAAAAGCTCGAAGGGTTAGTTGGTTGGATGCCTGACCAGCAAGTGTCCCACCCCAGAGACACGAGTTTCCAATTTCGGGCTGGTTTCATGGAGGTTATACAGCTCACATCCTGAGTTCCTGGACTTTAAACTTTTTGAGAAGACCATTTTAGTGGTAAATAACAAGTTTGGACATGTTTTGGCCAATAACTTATCAAGTGAGACAAGGCATGAAGTACGGACTCTACCACACCCACACACCCACCCTATCCCAGCCCTCGCGGTGATTTTATGTTGCTCTTACTGTGGCTCAATCAGACTTCCCAACCCCGAAAACCCCTTACATGGTTGTTGTTGGGAACCATTTTGCATGTTTGCTTATTGTGGTTTAGTGGGAACCCCCATCCAACGTCAACCAAGCTTAGGGGTTCGGGTTCTGTGTTTGTTTCAAAGCCTCCCGTCCCAAATGGCAAGGGTGGGTTTGTCCCATCCCCCGCCGAAGGGTTACTTATAGGGCAACCCTGAACTGGGGTTTGGATTTGTGGCTTGGGGATTTGAACCCCTGGCTCTTGTAGAGGGGTCAATGGGAACCACCCCACATCACCTCCAAACCACCAATCCAAACCACCAACTAGGGGGAAGCTGATGTACTGGTGCTCCTCCAACACCATTTTCTTTTTTAGGTTAGACTAAACAGCAGGGAATGCGAAATGGAATGACCCTGATAAACCATGCAACTGGTGGTTTCCTTTCAGGGGACCAAAGCCTGGGTTCAATCCAATTCTCATTCCCTACCGATTTCGCACCAGCAAGCAAATCCCAAAAAAGAAAACAAACTCCATTTTGGGGTACTCCCCCCTGTGCGTTTCCATCTTCTTTTTGAAGGGAAACCCCTGTAGACTCAATTGTATGAAGATAACCTGTACGAGATGTTCCGGATTGATAAACCATCCAACTGGTGGTTACCATAGCCTGGGTTCTTTCCATTTCTCATTCCCTTCCAGATGGCCAAGTAGGGAACCCGGGGCTTCGAAGAGCGTGGCACCACATAATTGAAGTAGGCCCCCCTCCCTCACAGCCCCCCCTGGCATTCCATGAAAGTAGGCAAGGGCTTCGAAGTGCCTGGAATTTCAGGCGGCCTTTGGGTGGCGTGCCTTTGCACAGACTTCGACGGCCCCGATGCGGATCAGGCGCTCCCTCCCGGTCGACCGGTGCGGAGTTTTAAGGGAGGGTGCGATTTAGAAAGGGGACCCAACACGAAAAGGGTGGTTTCTTTGTTGCATTTTGCTTGGATGTTAGGACTTTAACTTTTTGCCAACCAATGGGTTTTCCATTAAACCACTAAACGTTAAACTTTTAGCGGGGAGCAGAAAGCAACCGAGTTTTAGTTTCCCTTTATTCGTCACCACAAGAGGGGGGTTATTGATTTGTTTTAAAGGTAAGGATCCCTTTTGGGATGGTTGTGAAAGGGGACCAACAGGAAAACCGAAATCCATTTTAGGGGGTCCCCTAAAAAGAGACACACCCATTTTCCTCTATGCCCGTTAAGAAACAAAAGGATCATGGATCCAAGGGTTTTAAGGGCTTGCCTGGAATACACTGCTGTAGCAGGCCCCCTTGGTGAAGTTTATGTTTTTTTTTTGTTTCCGCTCCAACTTTGCTCTTTCTATTTAGCCATCACCTTTTGGCCTTTTGATCGCGCGGGTCACACACCCCAACCCCAAAAAGTTGGAGACAGAGACCACAGACCAGTTGGGGTCTGCGAGTGTAGGCACATCGGCCTTTTGGTTTCACGTGGATTTGTGGCCGTGGATCCCCCTAAAAGGGTTTTCCTTTTCATTCCCGGAAGCCAACCTCCAGAAAGGATACCCTCACAAATGATCACCTCCCACTTTACCTGGAGATTCCTTGACTCAGCCGTAGCATCCATTTTGACGTTGTGCAACATTGGGGGTTTGAACACCACTTTCTGTGATATCCTTGTGGAATCTTCTTTCAGGTGATCACGTAGTTTTGGGATGGGTGGGAGTCCCACTCTCGACAGCTGCGGCCATTGAGGGGTAAGACCAATTTAATACTTTGATTCATTATGACTTGCTTTGGTACAGAGATTATGAGTTCTCCGCGACCAAACACAAAACAAGAACGCCACAGCTCGCACGTCCATGTGGAGGTGGCATGCAACGACTTGGCGGAGTTCTCGGTGCCGGTGGGAAAGCTTAAGGCGAGATCTGGGAGGGAGGGCCTTGCTCCTGTTATGCTCCTTTGTGTTTGCTTTTATTGTTTACAACCATTTTTTGCCTCTTTTCTGTTTTACTATCACTTCCGTCTTTCTCTCTCTCTCTCTCTCTGTTTCTCTTTCGCTTCCCCCAAAGACCCCTGGAGGAGGCCAAACAAGGCCACACTAGGCCTTAACGGTTGCAATATGTTGCAACTAAATGGAAATGGTGGTGACCTGCGTAGGGGCCTGCCTGCGGTCCACTGGACAAGCCATTTACCTGACGCACCCTGCCCCTTTCGGTACATGTCCAAAACGCATCACCCCAAAGAAACTCTGTTCAACAAGGCCTAAATTGATCTAAATAGGGGTGTGTGTTTTTTTAGGGACCCCGACAAATTGTGCTTTTTCTTTGGTTTTCCCTAACCACCGATAACGGGTACCCTCAAAACAACGGGTTCGCCTTGTGTATTCAACGCATTCGCATTCGCTTTTTCTCCGCTTGCAGGTCACGGCGGTCCAGGGGCCTCAACTCCAGTCCAGCGTCTCCAGCAGCGTGGTATTGAGGCCCATGTTGAATCCGAACAGGGTTGTGGTTGATCACTCGGGGTTTATTCAACCACTTCTGTGATACTTTTGGGAATCTCTCCCTGTTTTTTGGGTGGTAGTCTTTGGGGCTCCACCCTGAATCCGAATGAAAATCTGTTCTGCCGCGTTCGGCGTTGGCTTCGGCGTTGGCATGTTTCGTCTTTTGGGCCTTGAGGTGAGCGAGCCACAGGGTTTCCAAGCCCAGCACTTGGCGGTTCCCAGCACATCGACCGGTTCCTGCGGTTAGGTTTCAGGGTTACATGGTTGTCGTTGGAAACATTTTGCATTTTTGCTTATTGCAATAACTTAACTGCTAAAATTTAAATTGTTGCATCCCTTCCAACGTCAACCAAGGTTTGGTGGTTTCCACTGAAACCACTAGCAGGGCATCAGTTTGGACAGCCCAGCTTTGAGCTCTGGGGACAACCCGTGTCGGTTGCCCAGACCGACTTAAATAAAGCATGTCCGGATTTTCCAGGTTTGGGCCAATATGAAGCCTTGTCAGGTTTCCAAACCTCGCATTTTTAGTTGGAGCCCCTGACAAGGCAACAATTATCACCAGGGTCCTCAAGAAGATAAATATATGTGGCAACCTGACACTTGGGGCAAGCCCAAAACCGAAACTTTCGAGCGGGTTTGGTTGGGTTGCAAGCTTGATTCATCGGAGTTTAAGCAAGTTGGAGCCATGTCAGTTGTTCTATGACCTTCAAAGATATACAGCAGCTGTGGTTCTAACTGGGGATTCTAAGCACTTACCAAGAAGCTGGTTGATTTCCAATCATCGACTTTTGCCGATCAACGGACTTGAGCAAGAATATGAGTACCTCGTTCCTGCCATGGCCATTGGGGGACTAAGCTAGTTGCGCAGCCTGTGGAGATACTGTGGATGAACGAAACCCTGTGGTAGCTGGTAGGTGGTTCTTCCCAGTAGTCATAAGGGTATCGCCCAAATCCGGCGATGAGCGCCGCAACCCTGGCATCTCCTTTTAGTTGTTAAGGAGCGGTTCCCTTGGTTGCCTATACCGGTAAATGGATCCTCATAGTATGATATCCCTTCGGTATGTTTTACCTCGAGTTCCTTGATGGTTTTCTTGGTGACCTACTGGCAAAATAATCACTGGAGGGCCACTCTGAGCCCCCACGCGTTCTCGCTCGTGCCTCGCGAGGCTCACGCTGTCCCGTCGCCTCTCGGCCGTGGACGCGGCAGTGGCGCGGATGCTGAGGGAGTCACGTGTCCAACGGGCCAGCCTTGGAGCCAAGTCAGACGCAGCTAAGCCACAATCAAAACTCGGGTAGATGAAGGTTAGTAAGGGGCAGTCCCAGCCAGAAATAGTTGCGCCCGCCTTCTTAATTCTTTACATGGTTCTGGGTATACCATTTTAATTCCGGGTTTTGATTGTGACTCATATGGCCCCATATGGACCGACTACCATGGCTTCCCGTCATCACCTCATTATGGGGGGATAATATCAGGTGAGTCCGACTGTCTGGGTCCGAGTTTGGTCCCTTTGAGTATGTTGCGGGCCGGGTGGTTTCTGAACGTGTTTGCAGATTGAAGGGGGTCTCAGTGGGCCGGGTCCCGGTGGTTTCCTTTGACCTCACATTTAGAGTCTAGGCGAAATTTCCAGGCTGCCCCTCTTTCACGGACAATACTAGAAGGGCCGAGAAAAGGACGAGGTGGTGGGACTCGAAAGCCACATGCAGTGATCATCAGAGCAAAATGTGTGTAACTGGTTGGCCCCTGGTATGATGAAGGTTCTTTGGGGATTTCCCGTGTCTGATATTTGAATCATCGCAGGTCCCTGCTTAATGCCTGCTTTGTTTCAATTCTGGGCAAACCCATTGAAGTGCGTAATCGATGAGTTTCTGACCAGGGCGGTGTTTGTTCTTGTTGAGGCAGCGCACACTTCCTGTTTTGGTGCCCGGGTTCTTGTTTTCCTTTGAGGGTTGCCAGAGCTAGAAACCCTTGTTGGGACTCTTTGCGGTGTCATTTTGTGCTGTGAGAAGGAGTTCTCAGTAACGGGATTTGGGTTTCCTTCACTTTGCTTTCCATCAGGGGGTCGGATGGGTATCGGTTTGGTCAAGTGAACACCCTCAACAGAACTTTGTTGCATTTTGCTTGAATGTTAAAACTTTCACTTTTTGCCAACTAATGGGTTTTCCATTAAACCACTAAAAGTTATGTTTTTGCAGGGGAGCAGAAAGCAATCGAGAGAACCTGAGACACAGACCCCTTGGCCAAGCGAAATTGCCAGGCGGCCCTGGGATACGAGCTCGCGGTTGCGCTGGAAACGGCGCTGCAGAGGCACTTGGAAGAAAAAGGGCTTGCTGGGTTTGGGTGACGGAAGCCCAGCAAGCCCAGTGGAATGAGTCTTCCTGTTTTGTTTGTTGAAATGGCTTCCCTTAACCAATTTTCTTTGTTGGAATAGCTTCGCTGAACCGTTTTTGTTGGTTGGAATGGCTTCCCTTTAAACTTAACCAACAAAAATGAAAGTTGTGTGCTTTCAAAGGGACTGAGTGCAGCCAGGTCGGGACTTACAATGAGCTAGTGACCACACCGAACCTCGGGCTCAGCAAGAAAAGCCTCACAACCAGAGGAAGCCCGAAATGAATCAAAAGACTCCCCACCTTGTATCAGAAAGACGCCCCCGTGAGGTAAAAAAGGTGGGCCCAGAACTGCTCATCCACTCCGGTCCTTTCCCGTTTGGACCCTGCTTGGCCAACAGGCTTGGTATAGGGAAGCTAATTAGACCTGCGTCTTTTATTTTCTGGCACTCCAAAATTGATCGCTGGGTATGTGGGACTACCCTTTGTGAGCTTTTCACACCCTGATTTGCCTCAACGAAGTGTAGCAATTCAGGATTTGATTGGATTGCCGTCTCACTTCAGTTTAAGACCCGCAAAGCAGCTCGGGGTGGGTACGGGGCACATCCTGGTTCTGCACAACAAGCCCAAGACCCATACGTTGGGAAATGTGCGGTTCCCTCATTCACCTTGGGACTCTCTCAAAAAAACTGGATTTGTTGGTATGCCTTGGCAAAAGTATCAGCAATAGCCGTGTATCTTAGATTGTCGTTGGTTGTTTTGGATGTCTGGAGGCGAACAGACCGCCAAAACTTTAAAACTATAATTTTGCCAAGGCCAAGCCTTGCGGGCTTCCTGTAGAGTAGTATTGGCCCTTTTGGGAGTGAGATTGAGCAACCGACCAGGTTGAACGAGGTACGGGCAGAACTGGTCGGTTTGGATTTTTTTGTATAGCGGGTTCAGTCTTGGATCTCCGGCCCAGGAACTGGTTAACCCTGGGCGGACAGTCCAAATAATCCCCTTTCACAAGCGGTGAATAGATGGCCAGGATTGCCAACAAGAACTACACATCCAAGTTCGGAATTGACCCGAGGACTCATATCGGTGTGCCTTCTTTTTTTTAGCCAAAGGCCCTTCGCTCGGCAAGAAGTTGTACAGTTGGATATAAACCAAACAGGAAAAGGCGTTGCGGCATTGCCCTGTTCGTTGCAATAGGACTGTCGTCAATGACGACTGTGCCCAGAGCAAAATCATACGACTGTGTGCCCAGAGCAAAATATGTAGGTATAGGTGACATGACTTTGCTGGCACCACTTGCACACTTGCTGCCTAGAGATATATGGGTGTGTGTGTGTGTGACTGAGTGGTTTTTTGCGCGTACTCTTTTTGGGCTTGTATACCAATATTGTATATTGGGAAGTTCGGGCTCACACCAATGGCCCATTTAAACTTATAACCTGACCCTCCACATCATTTGTTCTGGATGTGTAGCAAAATTAACTCCGTGCCTCTTTAGTATGCCCCCTTTTGTGGGATTTACTCTGCCAGGGACGATTCCGTCCTGGTTTACTAGCCACTTACTTTCCACTTTCCATGCTGGTCATCCAAATGGCTGTGGCTCAAAAAAGTGGTACCAAAATGGCACCTTGGGAAGTGGAACCAAGGACTAAGACCCGTGTATATAATCCCAGCTCTTTAATTTTGAGCCATACCCAAATGGGTTCCGTATCACATACCAGCAACCCTCGATGTTTGTCAAAGAGGGCTCCTTAAAAGATACGTTTTGCCCATTTGAAACATGGCTTTTTCCACCAAAGCAAAGGGAAGCCACCATTTACAAGGCAATGTTCGGGTGTACAAGGTAAGGATCATTGTCAAAGGAACACCGCGACTTATCCCTCCGGCCTCTCCGTGACAGGTCTTTGGAGACCTTTCTCGGCGCGTCCCCCGTGTCCGTGCGGGTGACAGGCAGGGATGCTTCGCCGATGCGTTGCTCGGGGTCTTTGAAAGATGACCCAACCTCGCCCAGTGCATCCCTGGCAAGCCATTATCCTTTTGGTTTTCAAGGGGTTTTTCACTTGGTTACCTACTACATAGGCAACCTCACCCAGCAATCCATTCTCCTTTTGGCTTTTAACGGATGGTTCGCTTGGTTGACTACTACATAGGTAAACGGAATCACTGGGTCAAGGGTACTAGGTCTCCCGTGGTCTCCCTTCGTGGGAACCATGACTTTTCACTCTGGAAAGGCAGGCATATCTGGCTGTCGAAGCATCACCCCAGCAAGAGAACATAAGATCATGTTTACTTCAAGTAGGCAACCGACAGAGGATGTATTTTATGGTCGGGTAGGCCGTGGAAGGCCTTAATTTCCCACCGGAGAAAACAGAGAGGAGAAAGACCCAAATTTGCCATGTCCAACTAGCACAAACATTGTCCTCCGCTGACATGTTGAGATGTCAACTCATGTTTTTCCTGACAAGTGAGAACCCAAAGTGTTGTGTTTCGGTCCGCGCAGGATCTTGGTGACAAATCTTTGCCCAGCAATTCGAAGTCGATTTGCAGAGTACGGCTAGCAGCCCAATGTATCTGTTTTTGGCAGCCTTTGACCCACACAAAAGGTGCTGCAGGTAGAAAGGATCGAGTCTTTTTCCGAGTCTCAGAGTTTTTGCCGATCAGACAGCGATTCTTTTGTTGGCAGAGGCGTGTCACCCTTGCGTGGCACTGGCAGCGTGGACGTCACAGCCAACTTTACCGCGACACTCAGCCGGGGCCCTAGGGTTTTGGTCGGTTGTCAAGTGGGCTCCTTGCGTGCGCTAGTTTGGCTTTTGGGTTTCGGAACCCTCACTACATGGGGGTGCAAGCCAGGGAACAACACGCGCTTTCTGCGTTCATGTCCCTTACTCCCTGCCTGAGTTCCCTTTCGGACTTGATCTACTTTTGGGGTTCGGACCATTCTAGTGGTGAACAAACCAAGTTGTTCGACTTGTTTCTTCCAATCCTACTGTTGTTTGTTTATTGTGTTTTGTTTGTTTGGTTGCTTGTTTTTTTTTTTGTTGGTAGTAGGGGGAGGAGAGCCATTCTCCGCTTGATCAGAAGTGCGATCGTGGAGACTCGAATCGGACATCCCTTCCGGTCGCTTCAGATCTGAGGCGCGGCAGCCAGCGACCACCTGCTGGAGGCCGGCGTGGACCCCTCGGGTGTCGGACGGAGAGTCGACAGGGACGGACGTTGGGAGCCACGGGTGGTTTTGGAGTCGGTTGTACAAAGACTTAAAATTCGGACGGACGTTCAGAGCCACGGATGGTTTTGGAGTCGGCTTTTAAAACAAGGGGCTGAGGAATGTCAACGATTCTTTTCCCATGATGGTGATTTGATAGCCCCCCTTCCAAGTATGGATTTTGGTCTTTCTCGGGTCCGAGTAGCTTGGTACTTGATTTCATGGGCCTGCGGACTGCTCCCTTATTCCCTCATGGAACTGGGGATATGGGTGGCTTTGTGTCTTTTGAGTTGGAGCCCACTTTTGTGTGGTTCCTTTGGGGCTCCGATTCACCCCATCGAACTGGACGAGGCACCCCATCGAACTGGACCGAAGTCTCCCGGCAGGTCCGGGACTTCGACAACGCCAGCTGCCCCGTGGAGCTGCTGGAGCCCCCGTGGGCGCAGGCGCACGACGCAAAACCCCGGCGACATGGGTCAGAAGTCGCGCGGAGATGCCGAAGTCGGATCTAGGAAAAGCTTCCAAGCATTATTGCCAGTTCCGAGTTGTTTTCCAGGAAGCCATAAATGATACCCAGGGGAAAGAATGATTCATTTTCGGATAGAAGGATGTTGGAAAGACTGGTTGGCATCAACCCCTAGATCTTTACCATGTTTGTGAGGCCACTTTTTACCAGGTGTTGACTCCCCTGCAAATTCACGCAAGGAACCCAAAAGGGGCGATTCCCACAGTTTCCTCTAATCCCAGTATCATGTTCACTGATTGAGGTTTACGAAGATGTAGACCGGAAACATAAATACATCTAGTTGCTGCTCATGGTTATCAATAATTGGGAGTTTGCCAGTGACATACTAAGGAAGCAGTAGTTGTAGGGGAATCGGAGAGAGGGTAGTTTTCCGTCGCCACAACCATGTTGCAGGAGTTCATACTTTTGTTCGGTCGACTGTTTGAGTGGCAAACAGATCTTCGAACGTTTAGACTAGTTTTTGGCCAATCCACTGACAAAGCGAGCGACGCCCTCGACCCTTGTCCCCCCCATATCCAATCTAGTCTGGTACTCTCATGATTTGCTGTGCCACAAGGCAACCCCGAAGGGGATAGACATTTTCCTTGACTTTTCCAGGCCCTCTATTTACAAACACAGAGGTCCCTCCAGCCGTTACGGCCCCAAGTTTGGGGGTGTTTGGCAGTTCGTAAGGTTTAACCACGGTATGGAGGACCCAGAGGTTCCCGTCCCCGAATTGCTTTTTCGGGTCTCAAAACATCCGTGAGTTTGAAGCCCCAACATGCCACCTTTTTCCCCAGCCATGGAGATTCATTCCCAGCCCCACAACCCCTTCGAAGTATTCCTCATCATGCTTTCAACTTATATCTCACCACCTCAGCTTCTGGAAGTGGAAAGGGGACTGTTTGGGATTGACCTTGTACCTTATGCCTTTACCCTTACCATTGCAACCTTTTTCACGTGTTTCCTCGCTAACACACATAAAACCATGTTGGGTCCAAGTTCCATTGCTTGGTGGTTCCCAGGCATCCGGTTCCTTAGGTTTTTTAAGTTGTTGGTTGATTTAGTGGTTGGGTTTCCGATTTTTTGACCCACCAGTGAGAATCACTTTTAGATCAAAAAAAACGGACACACACAAAAAAATAAGAAAACAAATAATAGCAACAATAACAACAATGATAATAATAATAATAATAATAATAATAATAATAATAATAATAATCATCATAATAATAATAATAAAAAGGAAAAAAACAAGAAAAAGCGGAAAGCCCATATTTCGCCCAGATTGCGATGCCCAAGCCCCAAGTGAAAAACCCCTCGGTCTCCGCTTCGGCCTCGAAGGCGGCCGTCCCCAGCGCTCCCTCAGCCGAGCTGCTGCTGGGCTGCCTCCGTCTGGCGGAGGCCCTGGACGCGGAAGGCGCGACAGTTCGCGAGCGATGGGCCCATGGGCACTAGGTCCCCCAGCGATCGGTGCCCGACCTCTCACCCGTTTCTTTTTTTGGTTGGTTTTGGGTTCCCCGTGGCTAAAATGGGCGACAGGGAAAAGAAAGGGTACGCTCATTCTAAGCTCTGTACTGGAGGACCTAGGGGGGGTAGCTGTGTGTGTGTGTGTCTTTCCGTGGTTTTTGTGGTTGGACCCCCCCAAAATTGCAATTCGGTTTCCTGTCGGCATTAAACAACAAGAACAAGAAAAAAAATACAGACCCCCCGGACAAGTGTAGGGAATTGGTTTGTTGGAATCCGTGGAGGGGTGTTGCGGATCCTACGACAATTTCTTGCTGGTTCAAGGAATGAGCACGACAAAAGACCAATCCAACTGGTGCTCCTTTCATGACTGACCTTGGCCCCTTCTGACTTTTTCAATTGTTTGTTTCACTAAACCTGCCAAAACTGGTTCCATGCTGATGCAAGATGGATGGACGGGTGGACGGGCAAAGGTGTGCTTGTTTCTGCCCATGAGGCGGGAGACTGAGTGTTTTGCTTTTTCTAGAAATGCCTTAAAGCCGAATCGAGGGTAGAAGAGCAAGGGCGCAACTCTTGAAGAAGCCGGCGTAAAAATCAATCGTGGCGCACAAGCAGCCAACGGCAAAGCCCGCCACGAAGCAATCCGCAGCAAGCAGTCTCTCGGTGCCCAGCTGGTTGCACCAAGTGCAGGGGACGCCTCGGCTGCGCACCGTCGTGCTGGCAGAATCGCGGCATCACCGTGACACCGTGAACATGGTGATTGATTGAGTCATGCATGGCATTCTATCTATATACGCGGAGTGGTGTTTGGGTAGACAGTCCAATGGTAGGGCTTTTGTTGTGCTCCTTGTCTACACTAGTGGTCAAGGCTAAAATCCAAGCTACTGGGTCCACGCCTTGAGTTTTTTGCAAGACAGCATGTCTCAAGCATCCCCACCCCCAGAGACGCCCCCCCCCCCCCAATTTTTGGGGTGAGGGTAAGGTCTGTGGATGTATGTTCCAAGATGGTGTTCACTACCCCCAAACCACTACCACAATTTTAATGGGATATGCAGCCACTACATGAAAAACTATATAAAGGCTATATGCCACGTGTTTGTTTGTTTTTCTCGGGGGCAGTGGTTTGAGGGTCTTGGAAACCATTTTAGATATGTGGTTCCCTGGTTTCTTCTTTGTTGTGGTTTTGTGGTTTGCTCCGCCGAGCTGGTTTCCCAATTTGGTTGAAATATTCGAACCCTTCCGAAGTCGCTCCGATGGCCGGCTGGGCCCTTTATTGGAGACCCCAAAGCTTTCAGGTGTTGGGAAGCCTGCTGTTTCCCAGCCATACCCTCAGCGTTTTGATTCTTGGAATTTAGTGGTAGTGTCCACTTATAGCCAGGAAAAGTTAGACGTTTCGCAGGGGATCTGGTAGCCGAGGAGCAGCAAAGGAGCCCAAAGGGAAAAAGGTAAGCTAAGCCTAGGAAAATCGGCGCAAGGAGCTTGGTCTCACTCCCTGAGTTCACGGAGATCGTTACCTTTTGGGTTTGCCATGTGGCTATGGCTCAAAAAACCGGAATTCCAAAATGGAACCCTGGTAAATGGAAACATGGACCAAAACCTGCGGTTTGCCCCTGTTGGTTGAGTTTTGAGCCACACCCATTTGAGTGACACCAAAAGTTCTGGACTATTTTGTGCCAGAGGAAGTGAGCGGCGTGGGGCCTTCGTTTGGCCTGACTGAGCCTGGTATACTAAACAGCAAGCATGCAGCTCCAGAACTTTGCTAACTACTTTTAGCTTCTGCTGGGCCTTCCCAACGACTTTGGTTTGCTCCCTACCTGCAAACGACAGGCGCCGCATTCCAGAGCGTGCTGGACGCAGAGTTGGGCGCTCGATGTGGATTCGGAGATGTTGTGTTTGTTTGTCTCGAATGAGTCCGGCAGTTCTTTTGGGCTCAATCTACATAAATATAGGGGTTGTCTCAAAATAGAATTCGGACCCACAAAAAGATTGCTTTCCTTTTGGCTTCTCTTTATGTGGGGTAGGATTCCAAAGAACCCACAAGAATGTGTTTGGGTTTTCATAGTGTGCAAATTAACATGGAACCCCGAAAACACCCATAGAGGAATGTCCGTTTAGGGGGGGCCTATCACATGTTATTCCCTTGGCCTCATTGAGGGTTCCGACTCCGAACAATCATGCAAATGGCACCCCGAGGGTCCGAGTACCTCCTGAGAATTGCATTTGTTTGGGGGGAGGGGGTTAAAAATAGGGTCCCAGTGCATCCTCACCAGGTACCAGGAATCTGCTTGGCGTACCAGAAAGAGCAAACGGCATCCACTCAAAGGGTACCTAGCACGTTGTTGTTTTGTTTGATATAAACCAGCTTTAAAAAAGAAGAAGAGGAAAACAAAAAAAAGGCATTGGTTTTTTTCCACAGCCCCTTTTCTGTGCCCAAAGAGCAACAAGCATCCTCCACACAAAGTCCCCAGTGACGTGAGGTTGCAGAGCGTCGCCATTACCGGCATCGCCTCACCACAAGTGGCCGCGAGCCCCAGGTGCCGTGCCGAGGTGTCTGGAGGCTTTGTTTGGGCTAAGAGGCATAGGTGTCCTTTTTGGTTGTTTTGGTAGAAAAATAGATGGCACTGGTTTACCTGGTGTCATCATCTACCAGGGAAACCCATCTATTTCCCCTAAAAGGACGCCTATGCTAAGAGGGGGGAAGGTAGGTGGTTCTGTTGAAGGCTTTTGGAAGTGTTTGCTGTTTTCTTTTGGGGACTCCTTCGGTCCAAGAGCATGGCTTGTTGTGCTTGGGGTGGGAGGGCCTGTTTGAAGAATCGTTTGGCAGGTCATGTTGAGGATGTTGCTTTGACTTGCCGCCGGTCTGGACTTGCAAGGATGGTTGGCAAGCCCAAATAACTCGCAGCATTTGAGGGTGGGATCATTTGTTGGTCAAAGACTCTATGAAGGGAAACAAAAAAAGAGCCACAGGTTCCGATTCCTCTGAGACAAGCCCAGTTTGAAGGGTTTGCCCCACCTGTAACCAGAAAAGCCCACTTTACTAAAAACAAATCCAGTTGTTGGGTTCACCTTTAAGTTGTGACTCCCAAACGAGTTTCCGTTTGTTTTGGTACCGAAGTGGCCACAGGGAGCTAAGTGAGCTGAGGGTAGGTTCTTGCTTGGGTTGAGCATTTTCAAATGCGCGTTTTGGAAAGTGTGGAAGCTTGAGAAAATCCCGGGGCTGCCTAATTTCCCCTGTTGGGCTGTTTTGGACCTCCAGCTTTTGGGCCAGTTGGACGTCAGTGCACCAAACGGTGGATGTTCCCCACGCAAAGGTCCCTTCAAGTGGAAATTCTTCGTTGGAAAGGATCGGAAAGGATCTTCCGGGGAAGGGTCCTATTTCTGGCCAGATGCCCCGTATAGAGGGCACACAGCCTCCATCCTTGAAATTTTCTGTCCTAGAGGACGGAAAATGCCGTGACTTCGTGGGTTTCCCAAACCCAGCGCTTTAGAAACGTTTTCAATCAGAGCATCTACCTCCCCGCGGTGGACGTGGATTGGACCCGGCTTAGTCCTAAACCAACAAGATGCATGGCAAATTCAGGTGAGGTGTTTCTTGACACTTTACCTGCAAAAAACCCAAAGCAAACAAGATGCATGGGAAATTCAGACGGAGTGTTTTATGACGCTGTGTCTGCTGAAAAGCAAAAGCATAAATATAGACTGCATGCCAGAATAGCTGGAGGCAGAAGGGTGATGCAAGTGCGCAACAGCCACCGAAGAGCTGTGCATGTGTGCATTAAAGTCACCCACCCTGACCCAACCAGTGCAAAAGTGATCCGGAGACGATCGCGGAAAATTCATGAAAAAATCAAGTTGCATGGAAACGCACTGGCCTGTCAAGGGCTGTGCGGCATGACCTGATGCAGGCAACCAATGCCCACCTGAGGTGGCATGAGTGCGAAGAGTGCCCACAGAACGGCACGCCAGTGGTGCAAGCAAGGTCGTATGCTACCGCATGTAGGCCTGGGCTAACCAGTGACATGCTGCGTGGTGGTGTTGCACCTAAGCATACACGTGAAAGCCAACTGATGCAGGGACTTAGTGATCTGATCACTGCGTTCAAAGCACAGGATGAGGAACATGATAAGCCAGTTCCCCGTCCGTCATACGGTACACGCCAAGTGCAAATGAGCACTGAGCCGGATAGGGCGCCAAACCCTAGACGGAAGCAGTGACAGAAAGACAACGAAGCGGTGAGCCGTCTAGTGGCGGCGCTGGAAGACCTGATCGCCGAAGCCAGACGGGATCCGCAAGCGCTGCTGCCTGGACTAGTTACGCTAGTGGAGCAGCAAAAGCAGAAGGCGTCCGGCAAGCAGATTGCCGCGACCAAGCCACGAGAGACAGCCAGGCAAACAAGTGTGCACTGGTGGGATGGATGGACATCCACAGAGAAAGAAGACAGCAGCCGTGAGCCAACGGACTGGTGGCAAACGCATGAGCCGACATGGGCTGAGGTTGCGACCAAGGGCAACCAAAAAACCCATACTGCCAATCCGGAAGTGCGCCGCTGCCTGTGGCAAGGGGCATGGAAGAATGGAGAAGTGATAGGGCACCACGCCTTGCTACGACTCATAGAAGAAGAAGACAATGCAAAGTTGTCACAGGTGAAAATCGTGTCGGTGCCTAGCGCCCAGATAGATAAGACACGATGTGCAGCCCAAGCACATGGCATGAAGCACGACATAGGTCTTGCGTGTCTGGACATGAGACCCGGGGACAAGCACGCGCCTGAGGCCAAGAAGCATTGGCTGATGGTCAGCATGAATGGAGCAGCCCCAAGCCTCCAGGAAGTACCTGTGATACCAATGGTGAGCCAAGTGCCCACGTTGCCTAGCTACATCACCAAGGCAAAAGGTGATGCTGCGCAGAAAGAGACACAAAAACAGGAAGTGACACCGGTACGTGTGACAATGCTTGCCAACTACGTCACAGCCGCCGTGTGGGCCGAAGCCAAGCGGAAACCTGCCACTGCAGTCTACTCCGTGCTAGGCCATAGGTATAAAGGCATCCTAGGCACATATGGATGGAGGCACAGGTACCAGGCAAATAGCCAGGATGAACCGGACATGGTCACTGGGTTCGTTAAGATACCCAACACAGGACTTGCCGAGCTACTGGCACTGTCAGGTCATGACGGCATTTTCGTGGAACAGCTGACGCGCCATGTTGAGAGACCCAACGTGGAATGGATGCCGCAAAAAGAGCACGAGGGTCCCGCCGAATACCTGAGACGGGCCCTTCGCACAGCACCGGATGTGGAGTCACAAGGTGGACTCACATTCAGAATAGGAGGAAAAGCACAACTGGGAGTGAGGCTACCAAATGGCCAAAAGCCATCAACCCCAGCCAAGCCACAAGTGTTCAAGGTCATGGGCGCTCCAAAGACCTGGGCCAGTGAAGAGGTGCAACAGTTCTTGAAAGAACAGGGGTGCACAGAGACCGAAGTGGTGGCACCGCCGGCGGGAAAAAGGGGATGGCTGTTCAGAATGATCCCACCTGGATCAGCACACTGCTTTGGTTGCAGCCTCAAGTCAGGTGAAAACATCACCTTTGCAAGGTGTGTCCGGGCGTGCAAACCCACCACCGAAGTGCCTATATGGAGACCTGGCGGCAGCATACGAGGAAAGCTCCGCCCCTGTGAGGAAAAGAAGGACCATAGTGCAATGGCCCATGTAGCCGACAGTGGAACGCAGCATGAAAAAGTCACTGCAACAGCTATGGATACTGACGAAGGTGAGGGAAGAACTCAAGAACCGGGCAAGCGCAATGAACCGCATAGCAAGGCCCCAGTGCCAGAGCCCAAGCGGGTCAAGTGTGACGACACATTCGAGGGATACAGCATCCTCGATTGCGGCGGTGACGGAGACTGCGGGTTGCGAGCCCTCGCGGCCGCATATGCCATGAGCCAAAGGCAACTGCTCCAACACTTCGCAAACTCTTCAGAGGGCATCAGATGGACGCTCAGTTTAGAGTCTTGCAAAACTTGGTTAATTCAGCTGTGCGCCAAGTGAAAAACGCACCTCGTCCAGGACCATGGTCAGAAACTCATGGGTGGGCAGCAAACGTGCACAAGCTTTTGAAGCGACAGGGATGGGAGCTTCAAAGCCCCTGGACGTGGACACACCATATCACGCAGACGCGCATATGCCTTCTTCAGCGTGCCAGACCGGTACCTGAGAAAGTGCGACATGACTTGCGTGAGGGCTTCCGGGCACAGGCATACCACAAGTGGAGGCTATCCAGCCGAAACGATGCCGTCACTTGTGTGAACATCCCATACGACACGGAAAGGTGCAAACTTGCACGGAAAATGGCCCAAGACTCAAGGGCACGAAGCAGCTTCATGGCAGGCGCTTTCGTGTCACCGGCTGCACTTGGGCAAAGCAAAGGCACATCTACTGATTGTCCTTTTTGCCACAATGCTCCGGGCACAACAGCACACTTGCTGTGGCACTGCCCTGATGTTCCGGGTGAGCGTCCCAACACCCTCCCGGCAGATGAGTTGCAAGCCAGATTGGCCTGGCCATCCGGGCAAGACCATGACGAAGAGATTCTGAATTGGTGCACCGCTGTAAGACATCAAGTCCTGCAGCAGAGATACAGTACGTGAGGTAGCGGACTACCACACCACAGCAACACCACGCACGGAAAACTTGTCTCGCCCAACTTGACGGCATGTGGCCCACACTTGACCTCTTGTTTCAGCTTGCACTTGTGAATAGCTACAAGGTGTATCTTGACCTCTGCGATGCTCACGCGTCGCGGCTAATGGACACACCTGTGATCCGGACATAAACCGCATGAGCGCTGAGTGCAGCGCAGTGCAAACCGTGATCCGCCGCTTGCTGACTCGAATGAACAACATTTGATCTTAGCCTGTTGAGCGGTGCATGAGATTCATAAACACCGTGCTGAGCATTTGCCTACAATCACTTGTTGGCAACTTGGCACTCACTGTCACGCCCGTGACAATCTGCATGTGCACTGCATGCGTGTGGACTTGTGCAAATAGCAATTGCAAAAGCAACATGTGCTTCGATGCAGACAAGTGCTTCACTACGCCGTGTGTCCCTCGTCTTGTTAAACTTGACACGTACACGGAGGAGTTTTTCTTCGAAGTGGCGGAGGTTATGAATGGACTACGCCACCCTCAAGATTATATATATTCGTTACATTGGCTTCCTGGGGTTTGCTGTGACACGCATCAGGGCTCCTTAAAAGATACAATTTGCCCACTTGAAACATGTTTTGTTCCACCAACATAAAGGGAGCCCACCATTTACAAGTTGCAATGTTCAGGTGTTTTTCATGCATCCGGATCCCTGCACATGAAGCGGCCGGTCTCTTAAACCACGGCCGCCCCAAAAAAATCCTTGCGCGACCCCGACTGTGCAAGACACGCGCCGAAGGTCAGCTTCGGCCAGTTGCAGGCGCGCTCTCACCGGTCCGTGCCTATGGCCTTACGTTCTGATTAGTAGCAGTCAGAGGAAACATGGGTTTGTCTCAGGAAAGGATATGGGTTTGCTCTCAAATTGGGTACCCAAAATGGCTTGCCTTGGTAAGTGGAAACATGGACCAAAATCTGCGGTCCCCTGTTGGTTTCATTTTGACCCACACCCAAATGGATGGCTTCCTTTTGGTTTCCCTTCAAACGCATCCAGAAAGGGCGCCCTAAGAAAAGACGCAGCCACAACTTTTGGCGAGGCCTTTTCACTTGGGCCAAGGGAATTCCCCCGGAAAAGCGGTCAAGCTGATTATGGGGATGGGAACATTATCACGTTGATAGTCATGGGGCCTGGGGGCGGGGGAAAGGGGGGAGGGAGGGGAGGGGGAGGCACCAAATTTACGGCTCCTACGAAGGCCTGAATAAGGCCTTTATTTGAGCTCCCTCCCAATGAGACAGGGAGCTCCTACTGGCTGATTCTAAACACCTTAGCAACCCTTAACAGAGCTGACTCACCTGCCCTTTGTCCTAGTGGTTGTCCTTCTTTTCTCTTTAGCCAGAAACAAAGTTGGAGCTGAACAGCCTTGGTACCAGGAGTTGCCAACAACAGTTCTCCCATGAGGTCATTTTTTCTGGCAGTGCCACACAGCCCCATTTCGGGTCTCCGCCAGAATGTTCTTATTCAGAGACGACATATGAGGCGGAATCTGAACTCTTGCTTTTCTCATGTGTTTTTCTCTTTCTTTTTTTGTTTTTCTCCGGACTCAGCCGCACTTGTGGAAAAAAGGCAACTCCAAACCACTACTCAGAGCATGGGTTTCTGTACCTTTTGCTGCGCCAGGCACCCGTCTTGGGCTACCAACCGGCGCCTGCCCAAGACCAAACCCCGCCTTTCGGATTTCGGCAGGCCAACTATGGGTGTGTTGTGTGTGTTTTTGTTGTTTCAAAGTGGGAACCGAAGAAGGTGTACTATATATAGTTTGTTTGTTGTTTTTTCCCGGTTGGACCAAAATGGAATTTGGTTCTCCTTTTGGTTTCCTTTTGAAACCACCAAAAAGGGGTACCATAAAGAAAGCCACGCCCATATCCCACGATAGTAGCTACCTCTTCGGTATTTTCACCTCTAGGTTTTACCATGGATGGTGTCCTCTGGTTAGCGGCTTGCCTGAAGCACTGGTAGACACGGCGTTGTGACCGAATCGCCGCGAGACTTTTTCAAGACAGACGGCTTTTCTATACCGAAAGGCTAGACATGTTGCTCAGCGAGGGCAAGACCCACCAATGGAAATGGGAAAAACTGATCGATGTCACTTGGGTGCCACTTAACAAGTTCCTTGGGGGTCCCTAGCTTTTGGTTGAACTATGAATTGCCCCGAGTCTTACTCCCGGAGTTTACAAGAACTGTGTGCTTTTGCGAGGTCCATCTTTTAGTGGTATTTCCACACACGCACAAGCAAACATACTTGTTTTGGCCAATCTCAGTCAAGCAGGGTTGTGGGATCAAGGGGTTTCTCCCCATGTATGAACAGTTTTTTGGGGTTCCGCCCTTTCCGTGGTATCACAGACTCGTGGATTCCATTCCACACAGCCCTGCAGTCAAGTGACCCTTGGCCCGGACGAGTTTTCGGAGTCCAGCTGCATTTGCTCTCTGGGTTTCTTGGGCTCCCTCGGTTTCTGTGCTCTTTCTTTCATGAGCTTTTAAGCATTTCTTCACGGTGCTTGGCTTTTTTTTGTTTTTTGCTCTCTTTTTTTTAAGTCTTTTGGTTCTGTTCATTTTTACTGGGGGTCTGCAAGAAACAAAGTTTTTCGCTACCATACCAAGAGTAGAGATGATTTAGTTGATTGACTTTTGTCTAGGTTGGTCTTATAGGAATCCATCACTATGCTTTTTGTTTCTTTCCACGGGGACTTCGGGCAAGCGTTTTTTGGTGGTTTGGACTGGTGGTGGGATTTGAACCCGTTGAGGGCAAAACCACCAATCAGAGGGAAGCTTAGGCCTTGTCTCCATCGGTGGGTTCAGGTTTTCCGCTGCTGCGATGCCTGCCCGAGTGGAGGGTTCCTTAATGTCACTTTTGAGGGTTTGGAAACAGCTTGGACTCTCTTTCGCAAATGCGCTCAAGACTGGGCTGATTTGTTTGCAAGGGTCCGGTCAGGGTTTGGTAATTATGCTGAACCCAACACCCGGTCCGAAGCTGTGCCACACCCAATTCGGGTTGCGCAACTCGGGGTCTGATATAAGTGATTTTGGAGCCGCAAGACAATTGAGGGTGCTTTGTTTGGGTCAGTTTCCTTTCAACATCAACCAAAGGGCGTCCCTCTCCATTCCAGCAAAGGGTCCGGAACCGTGTTTCCACTTGAGATGGCCCATTCCCGTTTAACTGCGTCTGACCCGAGGAAAATCCGGCACAGTGCCAGAACGAAAGAAAGAAAGGTTGATCAGGAGTCAGCCCAACCTGGACCCTCAAACTACCCTTAAAAGATGGGAATTCACCGCATTCGGGGGCAATAGCAATCTTTTCAAGGCAGATTCAACTTAACTTGGCTCATATTTAACATGCGCAATGCTAAACTTCGCAAGCCCATGAGCCCAATGGCACCACATCCCAAGCGCAAAGGACAAACACCTCGCCAAGAGTACCTAAAGAGCGGGCTACGTCAGGCAAGTGGTTCGCTGATTGCAAATATCCGCCCGGTTCACCCTCACAAGTCCCCGTCTAATTTACCAACTGCTTTCTATGTGTAGGCTTCGCGCGCTGAGAAAGAGTTGCTTTTAAGGGGTTCAAAGGTCATGATTCCCAGGGCAACCACAAACTCAGTTGCCCAAAGCCGACCTTTTAACCTTTTGGTTTTCCAGTTTTGGTCCATTTTTAGTCATGGCCCCAAAAGCTGTCTGGCTCACAAGCATTCAGCTTAGGGTAGCGCCCCCCGTGGCCTCGCCATACCTCCGGTGGGGAGTGAGGCATCCACAAACCCCGCATCTAGGGGGGGCGCGCACAGTGGGATCAGGCCAGCCGAGGCCTCAGTCGTTAGCTTGCCGTTGAAGGACTTCGTGCCGTTGTTTGTCCTGTTGCTCCTCACGCTTGCTGCACAGGCCTCGACCTCCCTCCCTGATGATGCCGCCTTGTGGTTGGCGGATTGGCTGGAGTCCGCTTGCTCCACGATGGAGAAGCCCTGCTCTTCTTCACCTTCACAGCCGCGCGACCGACTGCAAAGCCCACGTACTTGCGTCGCTTGATGGTCCTCGGACTTCTCGAGGACGGTGCTGCCACAGCTAAGCCCTTGCAAGTGATTCATGTGATGGAGGTCTGCCCTGCTACTTACAGATGGGACTCTCTCTTTCTTGGGGTGTCCCATTTTGGCATGTTTGTGGATGGCAGTGCGAATGTTCGTTACTCAGACGCTGGAGTCAAGTGGTCCACTCCCCGTGGTGGTTGTGTTGCTGAAACAGCTGGATGGACAGTGTGGATGCCTCTCCTTATTCCCACGTGCAGGCGAGGTCTTCCTTTTCTGGAACAGCGCTTAGTTGTCTGCCTTTCCTTCGGTCGGCAGAGGACCGGGTTTTTCGAGCCGGGGTTGGAGGCGTTTCACAGCATGGCTCACTTCGGGTAGTGCGCATCTTCTGGAGCGCCCGGCGTAGTGTGTGACCATTTGTGGTCTTCTTTTGTGTAGCTTTGTAGGCCTGTGCCTAGCGCGCCAGGCAAGGATTGCAGCCCAAGGATTGGGCGTTCTCGGTTTAGGGTGCGCACTCAATCCGGATTCGCCGCTTGAGGAAGTCATGGCCCCAAAAGGTTAACCTTTTTTTTCTGGGTCCTTTGGGCAAGCGAGCCAAACAGAGCGATTTGGATTTCTCAGCGGATTTTTGCCCAGGCTGAGTTCCGATGCGCCCGCGGGGGCACGTGCCAGATCCGGGTGCTGGCGCGGACCGGATCGAGGGATCGCGCAACGCGTTGCTTGTTGCGTTGCGCATAAGGGAGCCAAGGGTGTAGATTACCCAATCTTGGTGGTTTCAAAGGAAACATTACAGGTAAGCCCACCATTTGGGCGGGGGGGTTGGATTCGGCAAGCACGACGCAATCCGGCGCGGGGGTAGCTTTAGAGGGCCAGTTCTGTAAGGGTAATTAAGGGTACTTGGGCTAATCATTGGATCTGCCCTCCCATTTTGGAGGGGATCCGGAGTCCGAAAGGGATCGATTTCTGGAGTAACTTCTTTAGACAAGTGCGTTGATTCCCTTCCATGCCAGGTGTCTTCGTGTCGTGTTGCCGGTGGTTTTTGAACGCGGACTCTTCTGGTTCGGATCAGGTTTCAGGGGTTCTGGGAATGGCCGGCAAGACCGGGAAGAAGCTTTTGTTTCAAGAATTTCCCCCCGGAACCCAGCAAGGGTAGACTGGGCACAGGGCAACTGCAGCAAATCTATGGCCAGAGTAACTTGAGGTAACCCTTGCTTGGGTTGATGGGTGCCTGGTTCCTGTAGAGGGCAAAATTGAAAGGGAAACCACCGCGTTTCACCATCAAACCACCAAGTTGCCAAACCACACCCTTTTCGAGCGAAGCGGTTGTCAAAGGGATCCCCCAACACGGCTTCGGTTTTCCTGTTTCCCTCAAGCCAACCGTGCAACAAACAAGGGCACCAATTAGAGTGGAATCCCCCCAAGATGGATTTCGGTCTTCTTTTTGGTTTCCCTGAAGCCAACCAACCACAAAGGGCACCAACTCCCGCTCCGCGTCGGTTTTTGCCTCTCGGCTCGTCCACGAAATCAGGCGGCGGCCGGCGTGGGCACTGTGCCCGCCTTAGGGCGGCTCCTGGTTTCAGGCAAGGAGCGCTGGGGCTCAAGTTGGGTGTGTCGTTTTTTTTTCTGTTTTTTTCTTTTTGAGTTGGTAACCTTTTTGGGGTTGGGTTAATGGGAAACCTAAAGGAAAAATGATTTCTCCAATTTATGTGGGTCCAACCTCAAACAAAACAGATTCAAGTGTTCCCTGCATTTCCCCTTACAACATCACCCTGAGGTGAAACTACCTGGGCCAACACCTAAACCTTTCTGCTTAGGGACACCCGTTATTTCTAACCCCAACCCTGGTTTTGATGACCTCCACTTTGCCATTGGTTGTTGGGCCCCTTGGAAATACGTTGGCTCCCCGAACCTACGAGAAGCTCTTGAAGATTCCTCGAGGGGTCGATGGTGTGTGTTGAGGGAACAACTTTCAGGTTAAAAGGGCAACCAAAAGGAAATCACCCATTTCGAGGCCATGGTTGTTGTTGGGAATCATTTTACATGTTTGCTTATGGTGGTTTAGTGGTTGAGATCCAAATCCATTGAACTGCTAAAGTTGAATCCAATTGTTTGCTCCCCAAACCCAATGTCAACCAAGCCATTTCGAGTCGCCACCTCCCTATTTTAACGCGCGCAAATGGGCAACTCAGGCAGGGGAAGACTGGGTGCTTCATTCGAACATGTCCGAGCCGAAGGGTAAAAATGCTTGTCACCCTGCGTTAACCATCACCTAACCCAAAGGAGACGCAACCTGACAGTTTGCCAGGAAAGCTTCCCTTGACGGCTACCTCCGATTCTTGTACCTGGAATCGCTCATCGATCAGGTTCTGCGAACTTCTCCGTGTCAGGAGGTTAAAAGCTCGGACAACTTGCTGTGCCTTGATTGCTGGGTTGGATCTTTAGACTTGAACTTTTTTTGCGAAATCAAGGGTTTTTTTCCATTGGACCCACAAAAAGTTGTCTTTTTTGCAGAGGGGTCAACAACAACCAAGGTGCTAAGTTTCCTTAGTTGGGGTCCCAGGGTTTTTTCGGGTGTGGTTTGTAGGATCCCAGGGTCAAGGCATGTCAGGAATTGCATGCTTGCGGGTTTCTGGTCGTTTTTGAAAGGAATAAGGGACGAATGCCATGTGGATCAATCTGCTTTTTTTTTAATGGCGAGCTCACTGGGAAGCAAAACGAGCTCACCAAGATGTTGGTTCTTAACTCGGGATTCCTTATTTCAGGTCTTGGCATTGTTTCCAAAACGTGCAGATCAATTCTACAAACACCAAGCTTTGCAAACCAATGAAACCAATGCCACCAATTCCAGTCGGTTCTTCCAAATGGGGACAGCACCTGAGCCGCAAAAGTCAAAACACGCACAAGGCACTTGTGTTCAAATATGGACCATACCCTAATTCTGATTTTGATTGACCAGAAAAAAAGGCTTAATGAGGCAGACCCCCCCATAGCATTTCGTGGGGGTTGTAGGAAGTCCTTACGATCGTCGCTTGCCATGCCATCCTTGGGCCATATTCTATGGGACCAAGCACAGAGAGGCCATCGTACTGACTTGGAGATCGTCATGGGCGAGGCTGGCTCAATACTGCAAGCTCACCAAAACGTTGTGGCCGGGCGATCTCCAGTATGGGACGCAATGCTGAACCACGATATGCGTGAAGCCCAAACCGCCAAACTGACCCTTGCAGACGTGGATGAGCGGTTTTTCAAGCCCTTCCTGTATTTGCTGTACACGGGTGAGTTGCCAGCTGACCTTGCTAATCCAAAGCCGGACAGCTCGGAGAGTGAAAGTGAGCTGCAAACCGTTTTGGGCATGCTGGTCTTGGCAGATCGCTTTCAGGTCCCTGGCTTTGGCGAGGTCTTTGAGACGTGTTTGCGGCAGCTGACGCGATTTGACAGCTCCATGGCTACAGGACTCATGATCTGGGCAGGCCTCCCTCGGAAATCGCAGTACTGCCTGTGCCTCGTCAAAGCGGCCTCCGCAGCAGCCAAAGGAAACGTAGATGACACCTTGCAGCAGGTCGAAGAACGAGTTCTTCGGCATATACCTGCGGACACGATCAACGGAATAGCTGCTCGGGCCAATGTCTTCTGTATATTGACTGTGAAGATTTGTCAGAGCGTGAAGGGCGAGAAAGAACGAGAGCGCCTCAAGACCCTTTCAAATTTGCTGCTTGGCTTTGCGAGCAATTTGAAAGAGCTTCCCGACCCCCACAGACAGCGCAAGAGGCAGCGATGTGACGCGCCCGAATGATGCCAAATAGGTTTTGCTTGGCTCGTGAGTCGGACGTGTTACTTCAGAATTCTGGGATGCCGCTGGAAGTGCACGGTGCCTTTGCAAGCTGCGATGAGAAAACGAAGCGTCAACGCAGACTGTGTCCCGTGCCACCATTGCGCTTCATTGTTTGACTTGGGTTTGATCCCCAGCTTTGGTGAATTCTCTGAACTCCGACAATGTGTCCAATTCACCGGGGCACGTTTGCGATATTATAGTTGAATGTTCATGCGCGTGTTGTCCGCGCAGAGGAATAAGGGAGATGCCAGTTGACCTTGCGGCCTTGACACCACACATTCAATCTCGAAGGTTTATGACTCGACCAAGATTCTTGGTGTACGAGAGTGAGATTGCCAATCCGTGTGAGCGCTCAGATGAGCTGGATGAAGAGCGCGGTTGATTGGAGTGACCCTTTAAATCCCCGGAAGGGCAAGCGTGAGATTGCCTATCTACCTGGGGGTTGCCTGGCTGAACTTGGGTTTGTCTCGGAGTAGGGGAGGCAATGCTATCGAGGAGTAACGCTTAGTTACTGTGACATTTCTTCGACCTGGTCGCACCCCCCAAGTTGGACCTCAAATCCGTGCGACTGTCTCGGAGTGGAACCAGTGGGTAGTCTCCTTGTTTTCCACTTTGCAAAGAACGGGCGCATCAACAAAAAATCGCCGGGGCCGCCCGGGTAGAGGCCCCAAGCGCAGGGGTTAGGTTGACCAAATTTCTCACAAAGAGTCTGGACTTTTTGTTTTTAAATAGAACGGGTGAGTGATGGCAATTTGCTCAGGCGAGTTCTGCGCAAACGTTGAGCGGGCGTCGTATTTGTGTGTGTGTGTGAAAGTCTAGTCAACGTCAGAACAAGTTTTCCTGGATTCCCGTCATTCCGTGGGTGACTTTGAGGACAAGAATGAGTCAGTTCAGGCTCGAGTAAGTGCATATTTGCCATATTGGATTGGTGTACGCTTTGTTTGGACCAGCAGATCTACTTTTGCAGGCGCCCAAGTCTGGCCAAGCTTCGGCTGACATACTGCAAGCTTCATCCAGATCAAGGGCTCCCACACCTCCACTAGGTTTTTGAGTAGTGCCCTTCTCACCCCTTTGGGGTTTTGGATTTGCAAAAACAGGTACCAACTTATTCTATCCTCTCAAATCTGGAGGACCTAGTCCAATTCTACCTTGGTTTTTGTTTGGAGAAACCCCATGCTGCCCTTTAGCATCATTCCCATTTTTTCCACGGCCGATGGAGGTTCTGTGTGGTGCAATCTGCGAGTTTCTGGTGGCTACAAGACGTCATCTCGTGCATTGTCTACATGTGTCACACTGCCGCAAGCTACAACATACCCAGAGGGTCCCCTGGTACCTTCTGAGGATGGCTTTTGGGTTTTGGGGGGTCAAAAGGGGTCTAAGTACGTCCTTAGAAGGTACTTGGACCCTCTGGGATATATTTAGGCATGCAATGCCCATATGCATTATTTCAGGCTGCGGCCTCTTTGTGTGAAGGGCTTTTAGAGGGGGGGCGTCTAATCCAAAACAATGTCTGACACTATGTCGCAGGTCACGTCGCAGGTCACGTCGCAGTTTTGGCATGACGCTAAGAGCTGCAAGTGGGCAGACCGGAAAAGAGATGGAAGCCCATGCTGGGGACGGTAAACAAGTGCAGGAACATGCTTTCTGCGCCGGGCCCTCTCAGTCTGGGAAGCATCCGACAGCCCTGCTCGTCGCTCAAGACATGCTGTCAACAACATGCTTCTCGTCAATTAGAGTTCTGCGTTAAGGCAACTGAAAGAAATCGAGCCTTCTTAAACTTCCAACAGCTGCATGTGGATCGCGCGCGTGTCTGCGAGGCAGGTGGCTGCTACGATGTGCGCGTGTTGACTACAAGCTGGCCATCGCGCAAGCGTCTTGCCAGTCAGAATGCATCAATATCACACGTGCTCCGCCAAGACACTGCCTCAACACACCTGTTTACACCCACGACAAGCGTGCCTCTTGTGGCATACACGGAACGGTCGACAATGGTTATATAGTTATTCGTGACGCGCGGAACGGTTCACAACGGTTCCGGGCGCGCCTGCGCCTGAGAAACGGAACGGTTCACAACGGTTCCGCGCTCCATTGGATGCGCAAAACGGAACGGTTCACAACGGTTCCCCGAGGGAACGGTTGAGAACGGTTGAGAACGGTTCCGGAACTGTTTGCGGTTGCGCCGTTGGCGACGATGGAACGGTTGACAACGGTTCCGCGCTGAGTTGCCTGGGGCAAACGGAATGGTTCACAACGGTTCTGCGCGAAAGTGCTTCGGGCAGACTGGAAGGTCCACCAACCGCTGAAGATGGGTGTGATTCTGCAATTGCAGGAGCCGATTTCCAGTCGTCAGCATGTGCAGATCAAAACCAGTACTCTTGGAACCGTTGGGAACCGTTCCGGAGGCCAACCGAACATTACAAAGCGAGCAAAATCTATGTCGCAACTCAGGTCGCAGGTCATGTCGCAGGTCGTGTCGCAGAGCATGTCGCAGGCCTTGTCGCGGGCGTCTGGCGAGGCGCATTGCGAGAAATGCCGGCGCCAGCCTGCAAGCAAGGCGGCCGTCATTTGAAAACGGCGCTTTGCCCTGAAGTTCTGCTGGCATGTCTTTGCGAGCCTGAAAAGAAAAGCGCTCCTGCAGCGTAAGTCATACCTGCGACTAAAATGGCGGGACCTCTACTCGCCTGAACTGGAGCGCCCGTGTTTTACTGTCAAGCTTCCGCAGGGACACGCTGATCAAAGCAAACCGGGTGACCCAGCTGCAAATGAACGGATACGTCTTGGCTTACGCGGGCTGATGAGAGCTATGCTGTACGAAGAGAACGAGACCGTCGTCGCAAGGTGCATCTGGAGCGCGCGCTGGCTCGAGGCCGGCTGCCCCACGTGCAAGGCAGGCGCAAGAAATTGCTTAACAACCTGGTGCAAAAACAGGCCCTGCGCTGTGAAAAAGGGCACAAAGGGTGAAACCAATATTTTTGTCATGATAGGTTTTAAAGGATGCTCCCTAGCGATTGGCCGCGGGCCAAAGCTTCACAAGCCTTGCAGACCGACGTCATCTTTGCGTGTCATAATGTTCCGCGCAGATGTTGTTTCTGCCGCAGAGGGTGCTTCGCCTATACCATCCGTGGCCTGTCTAGTTGCGAGCTACAAAGGCACCCTCCAGGCTACTGCTGTTCTAGGGCTTTGTGAGTGGCAACTCCTCTGTCCCCAAGCCCGACGTCTTCTGTTACACCCCCAAGATGCGAACCCTGCAAAACCAGTTTGTGACATGACCCGAAACGTCACCTGAGACGTGGGTTGTGACGTCAATCTGTTTTAGTCGGCTCTACTCATCACAAACAGGTGAATAAAGAGGCCTCAGCCTGAAATAACATATGCACCCATGTTTGTGCGCGCATAAAAAAAATGTGCGCTTTGAACATATATTCACGCGCGCACCGTGTCAGCTCAGAATTACGTAATTACTAGTTTCGCACATGTGCGTTTCCAATGTGTCCCGCGTTGGTCGCGTTGTTTCTTTTCTCACAAAAGGCCCGTTCTGCCCGTCCGAAAAGGGTCAACCGGGGCCTTCCTTTGATCGCCAGGTGACAGCTGTGGCCTGCAGGACAATTCGGTCCGGGGGGAGGGCGGCAGATTTGTGGTAGCTTGGACGTATCTTGCAAACGAGCTCGGGTGTTGGTTCGAGCTCACCGGAAGATGTCGTTTCTGTAAGTCCTTCGAGGTTGGGGTACTATGGATGCGTCTGAGCCATGGGTCAAGCACCCACCAAGACCTGACAACAGTCCGTGTTCCAACCATACGGCGAGTCGTGGTTTTGGGCCATCAGTCAGAAGGTCACAGCCGGACATCAAGTTATCCAGTTGGACCCACCAACCGATATCACTCTCATACAACCCCCAATATTGGGGTTCATGGCTCCAGGGGGGGGGCTATGTCACATTTGTGAATTTGATTTTTGAATGATTAGAGCCTCGTTAGCTTCTTTAAACAATTCTTGCCCGAGCCAGGTGTTTGCCTGATGTTGAAGCCACCCATGCTTTCAACCCGTTATAGGCGATCAGGTGTTAGCAGTTTTTAACAGATGCTTTGATGAGCAGTCATGAGCCTCAGGATGGCGTGCCCAATGCCCCTGCAGGGCTCATTGCCAACAACCCTGCGCAGCTGCCCAGTCGTCCGTTCACTTTCAGTTGAAACGTGTGGCCTCAGCGGATGTTCCAATTGGGTGGTTTAAGCCTCACGAACTTGCGCCATTGTTCATCTTGGTGAGGTGATGCTGAAATGGGCGGCTGAGTCAAAAGCCAAAACAATTTCCGGACAGTCGTAGACCCCTTGACCGGGAGTGTCGTGGCACACAGTCACTGGCACAGCACGTGGGCAGCCCCCAGTTAAATCCCAGACCATCTGTAACTCTTCGTATACATCCAAGTACCATCACGCAGCGACACTTTGCAAAGATAATAGGTAAAGCCCCGCAGAGAGCGCTTGGGGCTAGACATGTTGCTATGTTCATGACTTTTTTGACAGTACCCCACCCGGTTCAAATTGTTCAAGCCCGTCTGAGGTTGACGCCAGCTCTGGCACAGCGAGCTCAGTGCGAGTGGTGGATACGGGGGTGCCTTAGTCAGAGTTAGCCTGCCTGACCGTTTAATTCCTCCCTTGTTTGGCGTAGGTTTACCCAGAGGCTCGGTCCCTTTCCAGACGCAGAGCCGTCAGTTTTGCCTCTTTGTCGTCTGGTTTTGTGTTCCCCCTGAACCACCACCAAGTGAAACTTTAGAGCCTCCGGCTCAGTCCGCCGACATTGGCATCTAGCTTGTCTCCTTCTTCCTCTCGCCCGTGTCCCCCTAGTATGCTCTTCTGTCCTCTCTGGTTCCCCCATCCTCCCCGACACGCCGAGCAATGTCGGCGGAGTGTTGAGTGCCACCAAGAGGGTGCTCCCAAAAAGGGCGCCGAACCATGCCTCCAAGTAAAATGTTGGGAAAGGGTGGCGACCAAACAGGGCGTACAATTGCGGACAGGAAGGCTCGCCGTTTAGGGCACCTTAGTGCTGGGTGGTATGTCATGGCCACTGCATGTCATTTTGGCGGGGTGCGCGGATAAGCTGATTTCTGAGGGGTGTTGAGGTTGCCCCTTGTACGGCATTCTTGCTTGCGAGAAGCGTGGCTTAGCATGGCAAGTCTGGGAGCGGAAATGTGGAATTGCAGTTTCAGTGCTGACCAGTTGGATACAGGAAAAGGCGAAGACTTTGTTTAGTGGGGCGTCATGAAACTGCCGCACGGTCGGCCAAGTATCCGACACGAAGGACATTGGGGGCGACACTTGGAAGGAAGCTGGGGTTGGGGAATTTGCCAGGACATTTGGGGGAAACTGCGGGGGAAATTGGGGGGAAGTCGGATGGAAATTGAAAGGAAAGTGGGAGTGAATTGGTGAGAAAGTAAGGCGCAATTTGCGGGGAAGCATTGGGGGAAATTAGGGGAAATTGGGGGGGAAATTGGTGCCAATTGTCTCGGAAAACACAATGTCTTTTTCAATGGTGTCAGCAAAGGAAAAACACCGAACACCGTGTGTCTCAAAGTTTTCCGCAAAAGGCAGCACAAAACCTCAGCCGGCAGAAAGAGGCGGCGGGAGGATTCGAGCCTGGGACCCCCGTTTCGGTGGACCGAAAAACCATGCGTATTTGACGTGTCCCGGGGGGGGACTAAGGGGGGGGTTATCCTCTATCCTCTCTTAGGTATCCAATAGTCCTCTCTTAGGTATCCGACACGCCGAACAATGTCGGCGGATTTGTGCGTGTCTATGTCTGGGGGAGAACGATGCGGTTGAGGGTCTTTGCAGGCCGGTTTGGCCAGAGCTTCTGTTGCGGTGACGCAAACTATGAGCTTCAAGTAGCTTCCCGCCCTGGCACATCGCCTCTGGGAGAAGCGCTCAGCACCAAAAGTCCTTTTGTCCATAGCAAGCGGCCCGCTTCAGCAGAGATTCTAATGTCGACTTGTGTCAACCTGTTGCGACTTGTGCGGGGAAAGCAAAGGCACGTTTTGAGGTTACAAAGGGTGAACTCGTAAAGTTAGGATATTTACGAGGGGGATTGCGCCGTACGCTCTGTCTTCTGGATATGCCGACACAAAGAAGTTCTTGAGCCGGTCACCTAGTCTCAACCCGAAGCCCTGAAGTTTCAGGTTCGTCCCCCCCCAACACGCGTTTTTTGGCGCTGCATGTGGTGCGCAAAAATACGGGTATCCCAGGAGCCCACGAGCCTATTCGGGCATGAACCAAGGGAACCCTTTGCTATTTTCCCCAGTGCCTTTCTCTCGTTTTTTTTTTTTGGGGGGGGGGGTTCCCCTTCTAAAATAGACGGCAGAAAAAATGGTACCCTTATTCGAACCTCTCTGCTGGAGGACCTGTTTTTAAAACTAAGAGGACAACTTGCCGGGATACCCAGCATCGAGGCTAGGAGCCGGATGTGGCCCCACAAAACAGGTTCTCCATTTAATTTGACTTCAGGTCCAAAGTTTGGTTTACTCCCCCACCAAATATGGAAGAGCAGCTTTGTTTTCAAGAGAAAACAAGTTGTCTTCAAGGGGGGTTTTGTCTACTGTGCAATGTTGGTGGGAGGGTACCCTGTATCATGGTTGTTGTTACACATTTTACATTTTTGCTTATTGTGGTTAAGTGGTGGATCCAACCACTGAACTGCCAATGTTTATTTTGTTTTGCTCCCCTTCCAACGTCAACCAAGATAAAGCACCAGAGAGGAAAAGCCGGGTGAAAGTTCCACAAGCATAGGTGTCCTTTTTGGTTGTTTTGGTGGAAGAATAGTTGGCGATTGCTGGTTTACCTGGTGGTGGACCAAACCATGTTGGTGGGCGGGTGCCCTATATGACACTGGCACCGATCCAGGCGCCTGAGTTGGAGGGCAGCTTTACGCTCTGCTACTGCGCCGGCGGCGACAGCGGCAGGCAGATGGCCGAGCCATGCGCAGCGGGCACAAAGGGAGACTGGTCGGCGGGCCCGGGCTGGGCACGTCTCACTCCCTGAGTTCCGTTTTGGACTTTAAACTTTTTGGGGTCTGGCCCATTTAGTGGTAAATGGCAAGATTGGACTTTTTGTTGGCTCATCCGACTTTACTCAGGAGGTAAGAAGCTCAAGTTGACGGGCCGAAGACCCCCATAGGCTTGCAGAGGTGAAATCAAAGCAGAGGAACAAGGTACAGCCTAAGGTTAGAGGCGTCCAAGGAACCTGGACCTGGACCCTTTTGACCCCCCTTTCTTCTCTTTTTTTTTGGGGGGGGGGGGAAGGGGTATGGGTCAAAATTAAACCACCAGGGGGTCGCATATGTTAGTCCATGTTTCCATTTACCAGCTGAGGGGTTTCCCTATGTTACCCTATTTTTGAACCAGAGCCAGTTTTTTTTTGGGGGGGAGGGTCGAAATCAACCCCCAGGGGGGCGCATATTTTAGTCCATGTGCCCAACCCTTTTTGGGGATGCCCCACAGCCAGGTCAGAAGAAAGAAAGCACTTGACAAATCGCTGGCGCAGGGGTGCCTGCGGGTCGGATCTGGACTACTTCAGCCAGGCCAGGGGTGACTGTCGCGCCATGGTTTCGGGAAGCCAATGGGAATCCCCCACACATAGCAGGGCTCTTTAAAAGAAATTCATTTTGCCCCCCATGTGACACATGCTTTTTGAACACCAAAATAAAGGGACACCACCATTGACAAGGAAAGTGTTCCGGTGTATAATGTAAGGATCCCTGCATAGGTCTCCTTTTTGGTTGTTTTGGTAGAGAATAGATGGGTTTTGATTCCTGGTTGACCTGGTTGTTTCATCATGCAGGGCCATCTATCTTCCCAAAAGGACACCTATGCCCTCACTTTCATTTGCTGAATGGATGTTGCATAAAAGGGAATCCCCCTTTTGAATGGTTTTGATGGACACCAAAGGACACCACTTGCAGGGGTCCCTCATTTTGCGACGCACGCGAATGAATACGACTTTCTTTTGCCGAAGTTCAGATTTTGCTTATGTTGCAACCCCTGTTGGTAATTATATATGTTTTACATGGTATTTTGAGGGTCCAGGTTGCTCGACCGACACCCAGGTTGAAATGGCGTGTTGAAAAGAAGCTTCCTTCAGAAAAGTTTCAACTCGGGTGGGCAAGGAGTCGAAGTTTGGTGCAGGTATCTGCGGCGGGCTGCATCGAAACCGCTACTTTTGGTCCAAGAAGCGGAAATTGAGGGGCTGCTGGCACTCTTTGGGACCTCCTTGACCCCGCTTTGGTGCCTTGCAACTCTTTTTTTGTTTGTGGGAATGGCACGAAGAGGTACATTGCTTGCAATTTGGCATCTACATGTTTTAGCAAGTAAGAGATTATGAGTTTTCCACTAACACTCAAAGAGCCAAACTTTCTGGGCCACAACAACCCCCCTCTCAGTAGGGAATGCGGAACCCTATGAACCATCCCCGTGTGGTTTCCAAAATCCAAAGCGCAGGGAAGACGGGAACCATCTCCAGGTGCAGCCCTGGCCAAAACTACTTGCCCCAACAGAACATCCCAGGTTTTTACATATAAAAACAAATAAAACAATATTCACATATTATGTACTGTACATTCTCTGCATTCGAGCAATGACAACACGTGAAACAGAATCAATCAATATCTTGTTTGTCGTGCACCCTTTTTTGTGCGCCCCTTTTCGTGTACCCTTTTTGGTATACGCTTGTTTTGTGTACCCCAGGCTTCATTTTCCGTGCACCCCCCTTTTTTTGGTTGGGCTTCTCTTCGGGGATCCCCGGTTCGGTTGCAAGGTGGGCACTCTGATCGTGCGAGGGCCGCCGGCCAACTTTGATGCCTTCTGCGCCGGGGCCCCGGAGCCTTGTTTTTTGTTTTTTTTTCTCGGGGGGGGGGGAGGGGGGGGGTGGCCCTCTTTTGGTGGGAGGGTAGCTTAAAGGGGCAGCGTACTCAGTATGTGATGGATATCCATGCTAACCCACGTACAGGATTGTAGGTCCCTGCTGCTTGGGTTCCAACCGTGGTTGCTAACCCTGTACTAAGTAAGTGGCCGTTTATTCCTTTTGTGATCACTGCAAGGCTAGGGAAAAGACGTGGAGATGTCGACAAATTGAGGCCCCCACCTTTAAACGTATAATTGGGGGACAGGGCGGGGCTTATCCTAGGGTTCCCAACATTTCCCCTAGTGTGCGAAGACAAGAACATGAAACTGGGGGGCCTTTCGGGAAGATCATTTCTGGACAGGCACACTTTGAGGGATTGGGGAGAGGGGGGTTACCTCTGGAGTTCCACGTGTGGTTCCATTTCCGCCTCTGAATCTGGGAAAGCTGGGGTTTGCTCAGAACACTCAGTTTAACATATTGATATTTATATGTGTATATGTATATATATATATATTATGAAGGTTTACTACACATGGGCTACACATGGGCCAGACATGTACACAGCACGCGGCTTTTTTGTGTATTTCCGGGTTACGCCGAGGGCTTGCTTCATGTCTAGTGTACCCCGCGTCTCACTGGGTGACTCGCTGAGTTCCTGGGCTTCAAAAACACCTTTTGGGTTGGGAGTAAATGTGTCATTTTCATGCTGCCCTCCCACCAACTAGCATGGGTTTGTGCACATTTGGCCAACTAACCAGGAGGAGTTTGGGTCAACTAACATGGGTTTGTGCACATTTGGCCCACTAACCAGGAGTCTGTAGTCTTTGTACGGTCTGTGCACCAGCCCATGGGAGCTGGCGGGAGGGCAAGCAATACGTTGGGACTTGTGCTACTCCACTCGATCGGAAGTGAGCTGTTTTGGCGTCGACCCACCATAAAAGTTCAAAAACCAAAGGGGGTGCACAGGCAACCAGTCCAGGGGTCCATTGGGACCCACAGCAGTTCTGTAGGTTCAAGCCTAAGAATGGCAATTTGGGACCCTTTAAAATGATGAAAATCCTTGGTAACGAGGTTGTTCAAAACAGATATTATTATTGTTTAAACCTTCTGGTTTTCCCCTGCCTGGTAGCCCTTTCAGTGGTTCTCGTTTTATTGCCAGCTCCTTTGGGCAGGTAGTAAAAGCAGATGTGGATACATGTTGGTACATGAACCCCCCATTACCTTTTTTTTCTGGTGGTTTGCTTCCATTTGTTTAAGAATAGATTTCTTTTAATTTTCCCCTGTTGGTTTTAAAAGGAATCGATCACTACTGGAAATATATATATATATATATTTCTTCAAGGGGGCTTGAGCAAATGGAGGTTTGCATCCCGAGTTCACCTTGCCTCACCGAGGTGGTCTTCCAGGATTGCCAGGTCCTTTTGCGGGGAGTGGAGCTCTCGGTCTGGGACCGCCTGCTGGTGAAGGATGGAGGCGCTGACTTCGACCAAGTTCGTTCGGCTGGGGGGGGGGGGGGTTTGCCACAGCCATGAAGCCAGCAACGGGAAATCGGCCAAGCAACCAAAGGCTGATTTCGGCCGAAATTCGCTGGGGCCAGTTTGAGCAATGTCCTGTGGCTTGTTTATTTTTATTTGTTTTTGCCGAGCAACAGTTGGATACCAGACCCTCCAAGGGCTCTCAACTGGGTGCCCAAACGTAGCTCTACCGCAGGTTGCTGGCTGTTAGTAAGCTTGGCTTGGCTTCTGGCGACCGATTTTGCAGACCTCAGGACATATGATGCTTCACTGTTCTTGGCATGTTTTTTAGTGTTTTATTTTTTTTGTTCTGTTCATGTTTACTGGGGGTCTGCAAAAAACAGTCAGTTTTATGCTACCATACCAAGAGTAGAGATGGATGTCATTTGAGAGGTGCCAGTGACCAGCGGTCCGCTTTTCTGAGTTGAGTTGGTCAAATCAAGGGCTCACAGCTCACACCTAATGGCCTAGTGGCTACGCATGAATGTAGTACAACCTAGAAACATTTAGGACCATGTTAGAACAGTCAATAGGAATTGCGCACTGCTCACATGCTTTGACTCCTTGGGTGAAACATTCAAATGTACTGGGCGGCAAGGCATGGCCTTATATTTCTTTGGTTGATGCTTTGAGGTGTGTTATCCGTCGAGGGAGTCCGTTGATTGCTTTGAGCCATTCTAAACAGAAGCCTCACCAGCTGATTTGGAGGATCCAAATCCTTGTAAAGGTGGTTTCGGACGGGCCTTCAAGGCGCCCTGTTTGGCCCTTTGACGCCAGCCCTTGAGCGATTCCGTTTCACAAACATGCATCAACCTTGGGGATAGTTGGCGGTTTTGTTTGTCTAGGTTGGTCCCCGCACTCGCCTCACGAAGTTGATTTGAAGCACCAAGCCCTTGCACACAGCGCTAGGCGGAGGTTGGATAGCAGTCATCCGAATATATGTTTGTGGGTTTTGGTTTGTTGTTTTCTTGTTTGGCTGATGTTCCCCTTAGCCTTTGCAAGCCTCCAGAGAACTCCGAACTCTCACCCTTCGGAGATCCTTATTGGACACGAGCTTTGAACATGGACAAAAGCAGTCCCGCTGATTCCGTTTAATTACCTACATAGGTAACCAAGGAGTCCGGCCTTTAACAGCGAAAAGGACCATGGCTGGTGGCCTATAGTGGCGAAGCGCCTGGGATCCGCTGGGAGTGGTTGGGGGCTGGTTGAGGACACGCGCTTCATTATATTTGATCTCGGCTGCTTTGGCAGGCAGCTGCTACGACTCATCTGCCGTTGGCTTTCAAGCCACTTGGCGCGTCCTTTACAGACGACCGCCGAAAATTGATGTGGGTGTGTTTGTGTGTGTGTTTTTGGTGGACCCCTCGCAAATTGCTGGTTTCTTTGTGGTTTCTTTCAATACCACCAAAAATGGACAAGACAGACAGACAGACCCGCATGATTGGGCCCAAGATGCAGGATTCCTGCAGGCGGTAGTTGATGGTATGTTGATGGTAGCTCAGGATTCATCAACTCTTGGTGGCTTAAAACCAGGAGTGCTCCCAGGTGTAGATATCCCACCGGAAGAAACTTTGACGAATGGGAGACCCCTTCATGCGGCAACAATGGTCGCAAGTGGCCAACCACTAAGGATACCCCCAGCTTTGGGGGGCTTAAGAGGGCCAGGTCCAAGGTCACATCTCTGGTGTCTTTTTTATAACTACAATTTCGGGTAACCTATCACGGAATGCGAATCGTTGTTTTCTTTTGTTATCCCAGAGTTGGTGGCCAAGTGTCGAAGTCTTGGTGAGTTGTTTGGGGGGAGGTCAAGATCCTCAGCCTGAGGCTTCCAGCTACTTCGCCGTGAACCCCGCAACGCTGCCAGAGTGGAAGGCCTGGATGGGGTATGTCTTTGTTCAAGGCCCCCCCAAAAAAAAACAAATCCTTGGTGGCGTTGTTTTTGAGTTTCCTTTAAAGCCACCAAAAAAGGGAGCCCTCAAAACTGACATACCCAGATGAACATGACTTTGTTGTTTTTTTTGGGGAACCCTCCTTTGGTTGGCTTTAAAAGGAAAACATACAGGAAAGCCACCCTTAGACCTTTGTGCCAAACAAACTAAGATGTGGGAACCTTCAAAACGAGTGGTTTCCTCTTCAAAAGAAGGAACCACGCCCACACTTGCCCCACACTTGCCCCACAGTTGCTTTGTTCCAGGGGACCAAAAAAGGGGGTCCAAGCTGATTGATTGATTGATTGATTGATTGATTGATTGATTGCTTGCTTGCTTGGTTGGTTGGTTGGTTGGTTGGTTGGTTGGTTGGTTGGTTTGGTTTGGTTTGGTTTGGTTGGGTTGGTTGGTTGGTTGGTTGATTGGTTAATTGAATTGATTAATTGAATTGAATTGAGTTGAGCTCAATGCCGAGTCGCCAGGATTCCGATGAATGGATCTTCGACCTCGGCGCTGCGAGCCAGACGGGCGTGTGCCCTAAAGCTCCAAAGGGCAAATGGATGCCACGGTCCAAAAAACCGATTCCTTTGCTCGGGGTTAGCCACTCGGATGGTCACCCACCTGGGAGGGCATTCCCTGAGTTGATTTCAAACTTTTTGGGAAGACGGCGTTGCGTCCATGGGTATGTGGTTCCAGCCATCGTGAGAAGCAAACAACAAAATATACCCTTTCTCTTCCAAGAAAGCCGCTTTGCACAACCAGATCCTTCTACCTCTAGGTTTTACCATGGATGGTAACCAGGGGAACACCTACTATAGTGGCTTGCCTGGAAGCTCTGGGATCCATTTAAGAGCCCTTGCCAGACCCCCGGAAGCTACAGAAACTCATCGGGGTTGCTTTGACATCAAAAAGGACCAACCCCCCGATTGAAGTCTAGGCACGAATGGACTTTTGGTGGTGAGGTGTCCCAAAAACATGTAAACTGATAAGGAGGAAAAATGGCGATAACGTTCTGTAGAACTAGAAATTTGGCGCACCAGGTCGCTGGCATAAAGCATATTAGCGCAAGTCTTGGTTGCCAAGAGTCTCAAGCTGTGCTTTTCTGGATTCGGACCTAATGGTGCGATCCGTGGATTCCACCGGCTACATCAGACCCCGAAGAAGCCCACGGGTGTGTTGCGGCTTCGGACCGGTTTTTTGGACATCTGCATGCCATGCCCCGATCGATCGGACCTTCATGTCTTTTGTTTCGGGTAACCTTGTTGTTAGGTATACCCCACCCAGTTGCCCACATCCCTTGTGTCAACTTTGTTTTGGACCTTTGACCCCACCCAGTTGCCCAGTGGTACCCTTTTGTCAACTTTGTTTTGGGAAGGGTTCCCATTTGAAGTCCGCCGAAGATTCAAGTTAAGACTCAACTGGGATTTGGTGGTTAGGGGAGGTTTAGGAAATCCACTGGGCATCAGAGCCCAAGTGACCAACCACTTACTTCGCCGAAGATTCAAGTTAGGACTCAACTGGGATTTGGTGGTTACGGGAGGTTTAGGGGAGGTTTAGGGGAGGTTTGGGGTGGTTAGGGGTGGTTAGGGGTGGTTAGGGGTGCTTAGGGGTGGTTAGGGGTGATTTGGTGGTTAGGGGTGGTTTCCCATTTCCCCTCTACAAGAAGCAGGGCAAATCCAAATCCAAACCACCAATGGAGGGCAAGGTGAGGTAGTTTCATACCAGGGTGCAATAGAACAATATTCGGAAGGTACCAGCTCTGCTACTGCGCCAGCTACAGCGCCACGGGTTCCGTGTGCGGGCCTGAGTATGCCTGAGCTCTTCGGGTTTGCGTTGCGTGGCCCGAGGTGTTCAAGGTCAAGGTTGGTCAACAATCGTTGTGCCTGGGGCTTCAAACACCTGTTCCAGAAATACCTCCCCCATTCTTGCCAGGGATCCTTCTTTCTAGAAAGCCTCCAGAAACCCAGGGAAAACGGGAGGTTCTCGAAAAGAACGATGGTTGAAACGAATGGGGAAACAACCCCTAGACCTGTATTGCCTTTGCAAAAGCCACGTGTTTTGCCCAGGCTTCTGAAGCTCCTAGTCCATGGCCAAAAGCGCATTTGGGAGGAGCTCACGAAAAGAAAATGCACAAACCCAGGCGCCCGAGCCTTGGAGAAACAGTTGTTGTTTCACCCTGCCTCATTTTGGGTCCCTTTTCGGGTTTTGCGGCGGATGCCCTGAATATTGCAAGTAAACAAACACCACCCACCCACGTAAAACCACAACACTACACATGATAGTCAATTAGGGAGTTCCCTGTTCCTCTTGCACTACTTAGTCGGCTTCCGCCGTATTTCTACCGGCGTCCAAAGTCAAGCCTGTCCTCTTTTGGATTTCCATCGATGTCTTTCGATCCTACGAGAATTGAAACCGAGTTCTCGACATTGGAACTGCCAAAGTCATGTTTGTGGTTGCCCCCCTTTGAACCAGTAGTCACGCAAATTAGCCACCGCCTGATGTCAACCGACCGGAGGTTAGTAACCCTGCTCCAAAGTGATGCACGGGGATAACCAATTGTTCTCATGTCCTCTTGCGGAAACAAGTAGTGATTTCCGTGGGCCATTTTTGCCGCCTAAGGGTTACCTGATAGTTCAAGCATCCAAGACAAGGACGGCATGTGAGTCGTGCGTCGCTGGTAGCTTTCGGATCCGCTGGTGGGAAGAGCATTGCCCACAGAAGTCCCAGTGGATCTCGGTTGCGGAAGAATAGTAGGTAACCAGTCACGCCCCTTTTGGTTTTCAAAGGATGGCGCCATTTGGTTACGCTGCTATAGGGGTTCGGGTCCACTGGGAGCATCAAGTTGCTTGGTGCATTTAATACACTATTCAATTGGGATGGCAGAAAGCCGACACAAACCTTGATAGTCATTTTAGAACCAGGAAACTCTCCAAGCATGTAGAAAACACCAAAACAACTATATGTGGCCAACGGTGTACACGGAACTTGTGGCTCTTTTTTTTTGCATGCATAGCCCACACAAGGACATACACACCAAGCCAAGGATGGCACCGATTTTTCCAAGGCCGTGCCAGTCGCCCAGCGACTTCACAATGCAGGTGGGATGGATGGCGTGCTGAAGGGATGAGGGTGACCCATTGAATGTAGGAAATTCCTCCTGGGGAGTGGTCCACGCTGGGGGTGGGGTGGGGGTTAAGGCTCCCTACGGAACCTGGCAATGAGTCACAAGATTGAGTCGGCTGGCTATGAGTTTGCAGAAAAGATGATAGGATATTATAGCTCCCCAACAAACACATGGCACTCAGCCCTGCTTTTGTTCCGGGGTTCCATTTTTTTGGGGTGACCCGTTGAAATTAGGACATTCCTTAGAGTCTTAGAGGGTGAGGAAAAGGGGAACGGGGGGAAAAACGCTCCCTGCGGAACCCAACGGAACCCTGAAGAACCCCCCTTCCATGACCCCAGCTTGCCGAAAAGACCACCAAAGCCGGTAAGACGGGCAAGCGGGGTCGATTCTCTCGGGTTCCAGGTGAAAAGGCACCCCGAACCTCCTTTGGCACCCACGCCGTTTTTGTTTTGGTTGGTTGGCACTCTTTTTTTCGGGCTTGGTTCAAAGGGAAACTGAAAGGAAACCAATCATTGGGTGGGTTCCTGGGTTCCAAACCCAAGTGAGCCATCAGCACCCGGGTAGATGAAGTAAGCAAGGTAGAATCCCAACCAGAAATGATTGCCTTCGCCGCCTTTGTAATTCTTTTCATGGTAGGTAGGCCATTTTAATACTCGGTTTTGCGTCATAACCCAAGGAGAAGCGCGTCAAAAAGGCCTTATCTCCTTGTTGGGGGCCTTTTTTTTCTTTGTTTTTTCTCCTTTTTTTCGGACCCTTCACGGGTGAGCTCGTTTTACTACGCCCAGATATCGTATCTTATCTGCCCCACGTTCCAACCTCATCCCCTTCTAGGGGACACCCGTGTTTCAAATCAAAACCTGTTGTTGGACCTCCATTCTATTCTTTTAATATTACTCTCCCTCCCAACATAGTATCTCACAGGACAGCTCAAGTTGCCCTGGATGCATGGTTGTTGTTGGGAAACATGTTACTTTTTTGCTTATTGTGGTTCAAAGGGAAATCCCCCCGTAGCTGCTAAAGCTTAAGTTTTAGTGCTCCGCTTCCAACGTCAACCAGAAAATTGGTTGCATACATCCACGTCCATGTTCCAGTCCCAAAAGCCTGGCCAGCTGGCCGCTGGCGCGCCTGTGCCAGGCGGGTCGCCTCCGCGTGCGGGGCGTGCAGCAAAGTGGCCTCAGCTTCTCCTGCGCTCGGGGCCCCAGGCTTCCGCAGCGAGAAGACGGAGCTGGCCCAATTCGGGGGAGCTCGGCTGGCGATGAGGGGGGGGGGGGGGCTGGGGGGCCTGGGGGGCGCGTTTTCTTTCTTGGCTCAGTGCTTCCCTTCTGGATTTCGCCATGGGAAAAACCATCAGAAGTAACACTTACAGATAGACAAGCCTTGCCTAGTGGAGTGGTCACCCGAAGCTCCGGGTTGGCTGCTTGGTTGTATCTTGAGCCTTCAACGTGTCGGGAACATGTGCGTGCCTGTGTCTGGTCACCCAGTAGTGCCCTTTTACAGGTTCCCCTACTAAAATAGACTACAGAAAAACAAGGGTACGCTTATTCTAACCTTTCTACTGGAGGACCTAGCCACCAAGCTGCGAAACGTGAGACTTTCTACTATGGCTTGCGTAGCTTTCACGCATTGAATTTGAGCTCACCATGAAGGTCCTTCAATCAGGAATCCCTTGCAAGTGTTGGAAGCATCGCGACAAATTTGCAGAGTGGTTACCGAGTTTCGAAGGGAAGCCCACAGGAAACAAATCGCCCGAAAGGGGGGCCCTGATTTTTGAGACCTGATTTTTTGTTCGTCTCAAAAGGAGAGCCGCAAGTTGGCGTCCTTTGGGTTCCAAGAACCAACCACAATGTATCTGGAGCCTCAACCTATCCATAAAAGTGGTATATGGCCCCAAACTTCTTGGGGAGGCTTCCTGAATTCTCAGGGTTTGAGAGTCCAGGTAGGTGTTCCCGTTCCCAACGAACTCAAAAGGAGATCCCCCCACGGACTTCGGCGAGCTAGTCGGAAAGTCAGCTTCAGCCGTCTCTCGAAATCGTCATGGCGCGCAAAAGGGGGGGGTCCTCTAAACTTGGTGGTTCCCAGCTATCCGGTTCCTTAATTGTTTAGAAGGCTTTTAGGGCTTAGTGGGGGTTTCCATTTAAGCCGCAAGTTAAATGTTCAGAAAGGGATTGGACTTGCGGGTTCCACGGAACTCTGGGAGTAATTGATCATCTGCTTTGGGCGCATCCAACGGGCCCCGCCGGGGCGATGGCTTAGTTTGAAGGGCCCTACTTGGGCATTGTGCAGAACCCGAGGTTCGCCCTACACCCCGGGGTCCCATGATCCATCAGGACCCTTAAGTAAGATTGGTTTAAACACACAGTTATTTCGATGAAACTGAAGGCGATGATTGCTTGGATATTCATCAGTAGCAGGTAAGACCAACTGTTGCCAGCCGAATTTCAGCCGGCGAAAAACAATTTGCTTGGTTGCTTGGGGCCACCCAGTTGCTGAGCGACAGAAACATCCGAGTTATTCGAGGCGCAAGTTGTGTCATTGTTGGTATAAAGGACGTTTTCGGGTCATCAAATCGGGGCTCCCCATGTTGTTGGTTTTTGGTAGGAGGACACCAGAATGACACCTTCCGCTTACAAGGGATTCCCAAGTTGCCCGATACCCAGATGCCAAACATTTGTTTGGGGAGGACATGGTTGGCCCAGCCATATTTCCCATCAGCCCAGGAAAACTTGTGACGTCCTCTTGTAGCTCACTCCCTGAGTTCCGAAACGGACTGCAAGCTTTGTGGGAATGTCATCTAGGTCCCCCAGTCGTGCTTTCCCGACCTCTCACCCCCTTTTTGGTTGGGAGGGTTCCCCATTTCCAAAATAGACTACGGAACAAAGAAACGGTACCAACTTATTCTAACCTCTCAAATCTGGAGGACTAGGAGTTCTTTTTGCTTCAGGAAGCTTCGGCAAGTAATTCTGGCCTCAGGTGAAGTCTAGCAAGGGCGACGGCGAAGCTCCCTGCACTCTGCCCGCCGGGGCCTGACGCAGGTTTTGGTCCATGTTTCCACTTACCAGGGTTCCATTTTTGAGACACAGCCACCTTGGTATCCAATTCGGTCAGGTGTTGGCATCACATTCTCAGATAGGTGTGGCATTTTCAGGGGCCCATGAAATGGTGGTAGAAAGGGGCAACCCTGAAAACGCCCACCGATGTGGTTCAAGCAAGTGTGAACTTCGGATGAATGTGAAGGATCGTACTCTTCAGGGAGTAGTTCCCGTTTCTGCGAGGAGACATATTTCATCCAGAGAACTGACCTTTGGTTAGTACGGTCCTCTGGAGTAATCACAGTTATTAGCCTTCTTGGGAATGTATGTTGAAAAAGGACAAAGTGAAGCCCATTTCAGGTGGTTTGCTCGAGACAAATCCGCATACTGGAGCAGGCTCATCTTCTAAGCTTGCCCGAAATTGGAACAAACACATAGCTCCCCTTTGAACGTGGTTCCACTTCCCAGAGAGGTGACAAAAGACGATGTTGCACACATTTTCTCTCATATGGCCGTGTCCCTTTCTTGGGGGTCGACCCCCCATTTTGGGGTGGTGGTCCTGTTGCTTTCCCTTTCACCGAAGCAAAGAGGGGAACCCAAAAAAATAGAACACCCACGTTGGTCTGACAAGTTACTCGCCGAGCCAAACATGGCTCGCCGCGCTTTCTTTGGGGTCCAAAGGCCCTCGATGAGAAATTGTTCAGAGCTTACCCGAGGCGTCCACGGCCTCCGCCTCTGCAGCTATCTGGCTAAGATGATGAATGAGGCTTCCAGCCTGGGAATACAAAACAAAACACAATACATACATACATAAGATATATATATATATATATATAAATACAGATAGGCAGACGGCTAAGGAGCAGCCTGCACAAGTTGATGCCTAAAGATTGCAAGTGAACCAGCACAGATCCGACCGCAAAGACCGCAAAGATCCTGGTATAGAGATTTGCCAAGATTAACCATGGTAAAAGTTGACGGGACAACTGTATCAGACCATTTGCAGCCACGGTTTTACTTGTTTTCTACTTTCTGACCCCCCCCCAGCCACCCGTTCACCAGCAAACCAACGGGCTCCAAACTGCCAACTAGAGAGAAGCTGAATAGTTTTGGGCAGCCTGCCATGCTGCGGCTGGAGTGCGCGCTGCTCAGCGGCAGATCCGCCCAGCTGCAGATCTCCGGCAGCGCCTCGCTGCGAGAACTGCGGCGACGCGCCGCAGAGGCACTCAAGGCGACGGTGGTGCTGGCGACTCGCTGAAACGCGCCGACGCGTTCACAGGTGCCTGGGGCATCCCCAGATCCCCTCGAAAATGGAATAGGGGGGGGGTGAGGTGGGTTTCGGAATTTGTCCATTCCATTTTGTTCTGGCTCGGGGGGTCCGGCGTGGAATCCCGCTTTGAGGAGATCCCCATTTGGGACTGGGTGATAATTAACAGCTGTGGTGGTTCTATCTCTGAGCACAAACCTCGCGAGTGTAAGCAGCGCAAAAGGACTCTTTTGTAAACTTCGGGCAGAAGCATGTCCGACTTGAGACTCGGGTCCAACTTAACTTGAGACTCGGGTGACCGAAGTTTGCGTCCAAGCCTAGATCCGACTTCGCTCAGGTTCAGTCCAAGGAAGAGAACTTTGATGAGAGTCGCTCCTTAGAGGACGCAGGACCGGAACAAAGCCGGACATGCCGAGTCACTTCATGTAAGGTTTCCCAATTTGTAGTGGGTTCAAAGGGACGTTTCTCAAATGGTGGACTTTCTTGGTTCATAGCTGTGGAACAAAAGGACAACTGCCATTTCATATGAGGGGATCTCTATTTTGAGCTCCCAAAGGCATGTAAAACCTAACTCATCCAATGGTTTTTAGGGCCTTCAGGAAGGGGAGCTATGGTAATCAAAACCCGTTTCCCCTAAAAAAAACACGCCAATCCCAAGGCTTTTGCGCGTCCAAGGCCGACTTGGGGGTTAGTGGTTTCTTTTGGTTGGGCGGGGAGGGGGGGAGACACCGAGCACTTTGCATTCGGCTGTCGACTTTCTCACTCCCTGAGTTCTGCGAAGGGACTGAATGTTGTTTTTTTGGTTTGGTTGCCGTTTTACTTGTACACAACAAGTTTGGTTGTTTTTGTTGGCCCATCAACTCAGGAATTGAGCTTTACTTGGCGGTTCCCACGTTTTGTTTTTTTAGGTTTTGAGTTGGTTTAGTGGTTGGGTGTCCACATTGAATCCACTAAAGGTTAGTCATTTTTAGCAGGGATCAGTTTGGACAGCCCAGCTTAACTTGGACGACGTGGTCATTGGTGGACTTTGTTGATATGTTGATGTTATTGTTACACAGTGGTTGGTAGACCGCAAGATGAACGGATGTTCCACCTCCCCACCTCCTCCCCCCCCCCCGCCCCCCCACCCACCCACCCCCTCGACTTGGCTGTGGGTCAAAACCAATGGTACCATTTTGGGGTTTTCGGTGCACCACCCATTGTAGAACCTATTTTAGTGGACAGTTTTCAATGACTTGCATCGGTGTTCCAGCGCTCCATGGCCCTCTGAGCTTAGAGATCACTGACACCCTACATAGGGAGCATATACAAAAGCACCGAAGGAAGCCCAGCAGTCAGACAGCGTCCCCAAAGATGCCTGTACAAGCTGTTGATATGCTTTGATGCCTCCATGTGTTCCCTTTCAACCTGCTTGTGATTATACCTTCAGTCTTCACCGTTTGCATCATGGTCCCCACAAAAAAAAAAAGAAAACACACAAAAACAACGGTTGCACAAAAAACGACACACACACACACACAAAAAAAAAAAAACGCCCCAAGGGGCTCGCTCCCAGATGTCCACCACGGAGGCCTCCGGGACGGCGGGGTGGTCTTCCTCTTGGCGCAGCGCTCGCGCCTGGCGTCCCACCGCTGGGCCCGCGGCTTCGCGCTGCTCGAGGGCGGCGACGGCCAAGTGCGCGCCTGGGGCGACGCGCGGCATGGGGGCGACTGCTCCAAGGTGCAGCACCTGCTGCGGCACCTCGGCACGACGAGGCGAACCGGGGGGTCCCTCAATTCTTTGGTGCATTTTGCCAAGGGATGTTAGGACCTTAACTTGTTGCCAACTCATGGGGTTTCCATTAACTACTAAAAGTTGAACTTTTCCCAGGGGAGCAGCAAGCAACCGAGAATTGGTCATGAGCCATGGCCACAACCGGGTTTCTGGCGAAGATTCCAAGGGTTGGCGAGCCAACACCCTTCTGTCCCATGGCACCTGGAGTTTGCGGAAGACGGGAAACTCAGGATATTTTTTGCCGCCAGACTTAAGTAATCTTTTGCCCTTCCTTTAAGTTTTCCCAGCCAGCAACAACTTAACGTTTACAGGGTGTGCCCTTAAAGCGTAAGATTTCCCTCGGAAGGCCACACGCCCCCCGAAGAAAACTCAGCAAAAGGACCAAGCAAGTTGTTAGTTGCTCACCCCATAGGATCGTTCCCCTGTTAGCCTTACTTACCTGCCTTGCAGAGCGAACGGGATGTACTCGGGTTGTCAAACAATTGGACATGTTGGGATCCGAAAATGGAGAGCCCAGCAACATCACCAAAATGTCCAACATCACCACTAAAATGTCCAACATCACCACCAACATGTCCAACATCACCACAAGAACGTTCAACATCACCGCTAAGATCGACTAAAATGTCCAACCTCCCCACTAAACATCTTAGCGCTGTTGGTGTCTCTCATTGGAACACCTAGGCACGTGGAGGACGTGAAGGCCTCGGGCGGCGCCTTCGCTGCGCGCCTCAGCACTGGCGCTGTGGTCTGCTGGGGGGACCCGGACTTCGGGGGCGACTGCGGCTCGGCGCAAATCGACCCATTTCGGTGGTCCGGTGGTAGCGGTTGGACCTAGGCTGAATGTTTCATCCTGGGGCTGGTCCAGGATACATTTGGGCCAGTCAAAACACCTTCACCAGATCATGTCGTGCCCCCCTACCAAAAAACAGGTCCGTGTGTGGGTCTGTGTGTGTGTGTCTTTTGAGGGTACCCTTTTTTCCATGTGGGGTTTCACATATTATGTCGGTGTCCATTTTGTTTCTGTTGGATTCCCTTGTCCTGTGGATCCAATTATGAGTTGCGTGTTTTTCTGGGGCTACCCCTTTTGAGGTCTGTTTCAAAGATATACCAAAAGGAAAACGGGCATGTCCGAATTGTTTGGGTGCCGATTCCTGTTTTGACACATTGCCATTTGCTGAAAAGAAACATACCTACAGGTGTGCTTCTACAAATGGTGGCCCTTGTTTCGCTCGGTATTTACTTGAACGGAAACCAGGACAACCAACCATAGGGGATGACTTCAGGGACGTTGCGCTTCATCATCGCTATTGAACTTTAGCCCGATCCCCGATCTCAAAAGGGTTTGGATCCTCAGGGAAGGAAGCTTTCCTGCTCCCAGTCTTTCTTCTTCTTTGTTCTTTGCTTGGTGTCCCTTCAAAGTGAACCAAGCAAAGAATGTGCTTGTGTGTGTGGCTGTGTGTATCTCTGTGTGTCTCTGTGGCAAGTGTTCCAGCTCCAGCTGTGCAGTTATCCTTTACTTTTACCGGCTGACGGTTTGTGTTATTATGTGCCCTCTGTGCGGACAGTTAGTTATACATCCTCAGAACTTTTCGGACGTGCACAGCAGTCATTGCGGGAAGGGGGGTGTGCCGGTCAATATCCTGTTTGGTGGCACCAGATGGCACCTGGTGGAGCCATCTCTCCTGGTTCTCCCATGAAGACCTCCAATATGCAAAAGTCTTGCTCCATGTCTCAATTGCCCAAAGCCGACCTTTGACTCCTTTGGCCCCCAAAAGGTTAACCTTTCATTTCTGGTTCTTCTTCCTGTTCCCCATTTCTTCCAGCAAACTCTTGTGGTGAAAGTAGATGGCGCAATTCCTTCTGCCATGTTGGTCACCCATCCCATCAACTCACCTTGTGACGTCCCTCCCGGTCGATCCGATCGATCTACCTCCGCTTCAGGT